GGGGGGGGGGGGGGGGGGGGGGGGGGGGGGGGGGGGGGGGGCAACCCCTCGCATAAAAAGTAGCAAAAAGGGGGAAGAGACTCAACCGACCAACCAATCAAGAAAAAGCATCAAAAAAGATAACAAAAAAACCAAAAAAATGGACGATGTGGGGATTGAACCCACGACCTCTCGCATGCAAAGCGAGCGATACTACCGCTGATCTAATCGCCCCGGAATACCTCGCTCGGGTAGGTATGTTTTTCATATCTTACTTTACCATCAATGCCTATCTATATCCTGTCCTAATAACTCAACACCAATTCTGAGGTAATTGGGCAGCAAATTCGCAGAATGGCGCTGCGTTCATATACATTTTGGTTTTTTTTTTTTAATTGCTCGTATGAAGGACGAGTTATGGAGGGCAGTGGTGAGTTCGATCATGGGTTCACTAGGTAGGTAGGGAAGGTAGGTAGGGATGTGATGAGTGAGGAATTGGATTTTACCTATGGAATAAATAATAGGAGTTTTGGGGTTATGAATGACTTGCTCAGAGAGAGAGTGGACAAAAACGGGGGGAGATAATCCAACGATCGATCTATAATATTGATACATAAAGGCAACTAACTGTCCATACTCTATATCTACATTTACCTCTCTCTAACTCTACCGACAATATCAGTCAACCCTCTTAATTCAAGTCCCCTGATCAAAACTTTCGTTACATTCATTCCATCACACCGCCTTCTCCCTCGGGCCCGACAACCTCTCGAATCGGTCAACACTCATGATAAACGTGCCTCGCCCGCCCGTAAGACTGCGCAGATGCTTCAAATAGCCCACCATCTCCTTGAGCGGCACTCTCGCCGTGACATGTCTCTGCTGGCCGGGGCCCGCCGACCGCGATGTCCCGCTCGACGACGCGAATGGGTCCGGGGGCGCGTAGATGCGACTCGGGTCGATGGTGCGTCCGTCGTCGCCTTGATTATCCGCGCTGTCGTTCTCGAGGGAGAGCACGTGGCCGCCGCGTGCCGAGGACAGATCGTGGACGATGGCGCCGAGCGAGGATTCGTCGCAGCTGATGACGACGTTCATGACGGGTTCCATGAGGCCGATGGCGTCTTTTGAGAGGGCTTCTTGAAGCGCGGCCTGCACGGCGAGGCGCGCGGCAGAAGAGAGGGCGGCGGGGGAGGTCTCGGGGCCGAAGAAATCTCGTGTGGTGTCGAAGGTGAGCGTGGCGTGGCTGGCGTGTAGGGGGAAGCTGCGGCGGGGCCCGCGGGCGAGAGCTGCGACGGCGCCGTTGATCAGGGAGGACTGGAGGAGGTCTAAGGGGAGTTCGGGAGGAGTGGAAGGGCCTTCTGCTGAGGAGTCGTCTAAGGGAGAAGGGGTGATGATGCGGATCGTGATTGCATTGCCGTCACGATGGACAGTGTGATCGACCGCAGTGGCTGTCTCGTCAAGAGGTCCGATGCTAGCTTCACAGCCGGCTTTGCCTTTCTTCCCGGCGACTTCGCGGTCGAAGACGAAGCGGTGAGTTGAGGTGTGCGATAGGACGCATTCGCGGTAGCTGATCTCGATGTTCCCCATCGTGGCTTTGGCCTTGAAATCCTTGACTAGACGATCTCGTGCGATCTCAAGGTGAAGCTCACCCATCCCGCTGATTAACATCTGCCCAGATTCCTCATCAACGTTAACGTGCAAGCTGGGATCTTCTCTAAGTAGGATAGCAAGGATATCTGCCACGTTCTTCTCCTCGCTGAGACTGTGCGGCTCAACCGCGGCGAAGAAGACGGGTGGTGGGACTTCAATGGGACGAAGTTGGAGAGCATTCAATGGCGGAGGGGGGCCGACTTTTGGGTTGACTCCAGGATAGGATACCAAGGTGTCACCTGTGCGGGCGTGCTTTAGCCCTGCGATAACTCCAATCTGCCCGGCAGGAATCTGGGATATCTCAATGGCATCGGATGCCTGCATCTGTAATAATCTCTGAGCCCTCTCTGTGACGTGGAGATTCGAATTCCATAAGGCTGCGTTGCTATTTATGCTGCCCGAGTAGACCCTGACATAGACAAGTACACCACGTCGAGCGTCGTTGACGACTTTGAATGCGAGCGCACAGCCTTCGATTTTGGACGCGAGAGCCTTTGGGGTTGCCGACTTCCTCGCTAAGTGCTTGTTTCCGCTAGGGACAATACTGATCTTGCCATCTAAGAGGTCGGAAAGAGATCCGTTGACAGACCCAAGACTGATTTCCGGGTCTGGTCTTTCGGTAGGGTCAGGAAGGAGATCATCAACGGCATCTAAGAGAGGCTGGACTCCAATATTCCTGAAACTGGCTCCGGCAAATACTGGAATAACTCGCCCAGAGCCGTCAATTATACAACGCCGTAAGCTATCCCTGATGGATTGTGCGGGTATGGCCAGGCTGTCGTCATTGCATTCGAGCCACTTCTCGAGAAGTTCTTCGTCGTGTTCGCAAAGCGCTTCAACAAGAGCCGCGCGGGCCTTGATCAGCTCGGTTCGCAGTCCTGGGTCTTCTTGCTCAAGGGCTTGAAGTGTGAAGCTCTTGATGCTCTTGCCATCACCTCCTTCCGCCCATTTCAATGCACAGAGGTTAACTGCATCTCCAACCCCCGTAAACCTCCCCTTTCCGCCCTCCCACCAAGGGATTTGACAAACGATTGGCCAACCTCGTAATCTTGATCCTATTTCCTTGGTAGTTCTCTCGAAGGAAGCACCATCCCGGTCGAGCTTGTTGACGAAAACGATTCTGGGGATACTCCAATTGTTCGCCTGAGCCCAAACCTTTTCGGTCTGGGCCTCAACTCCAGCCACTCCGTCGAGTATACACACCGCCCCATCGAGAATTCTTAACGACCGGATGACTTCGAACGTGAAGTCTGCATGGCCCGGGGTATCGATAAGATTTATGGTGTGGGGGGTCTGAGACCTTGGTCCTTCAGTCTTGTTGGTTGTACCTTCACCCAAGGGCGGCCAGTGAAATGTTACAGCCGCCGACTGAATTGTAATACCCCTGGCTCGCTCCGCAGGGAGAAAGTCCGTAACAGTGGATCCATCATCAACATCTAGGGAGACATATTAGGTGGAACGTAAAGAAGACTAACTAGAGAATGCTAGGCAAAGTTTTCTTTTCATTAATTCCCAAAAAAAGGTATAAGACTTCTTACACTTCTTACAACTGAGCCAATGAAACCATGTAGAATGAGCATTCAACGACGGAAAACGTCCTGAGACATACCTCCTATGCGACGAGTGAAGCCACTGTAATAGAGCATGCGCTCAGTAGTTGTTGTCTTACCCTAAGTCAATGTTAGAATTTAGATTCCAGATCATATAGGCTCATAAAATATATCTTACGGCATCGATGTGAGCAATGATACCGATATTTCGGGTGTTTTTGAGGCTTGTATCCCGCTGAAGAGACGAGGAGTATCGGGTTACGGTCTTGGACCAACATGCTGGTATTTCACGCCACGGAAGACATCGAAGGCGTCGATGCCATATGTGACACCCTCTTTTCGACGCCAATAAACTCATGCCCTGATCTATGATGATATATGAAGCTGCTGAGAACTGATACTGATCCCGACGAGCAGGGGATGGTCTATCTCGCTTGGCGCTAATTTTCACGCCGCCGCGCTTATTGGGTGGCTCATGCCTTGCGGAGAGAGATCATCCCTATTTGCTGACTGCTCGAGCTTCGAGCCTCGAAGTCATTGCTCGCATTGTAGCAGGACCACTCTCTTTCACGAACCGGCATAGAGTTGCGCATGCTATTCTTACAATCAACGAGGTCGTCGAGCAGGAATCGTTCCAATCCGATATCACAGTCTTACCCGGGCCCATCTCAGGCCAGTATACAACCGTCCTGGGACCAGGCAGAGCAGATAACTACTCGGCATCATGGATTACTCGTCATCCATACAAGATGCTGAAAACCCAGCCGGCGCTTCGCCCTGGGGCTCATCACCAGTCCCCTCTCCCCATCACTCAAATACGACCTCTTCTTACCCAGTCCCCGGCGAGGGCCCTCCGTCTCCAACCCCGTACAGCACCCAATCGAGCAGTGCAGGTTATGCGCAAGATGATATCATGGGCGGAGGAAGTTACCACAAGCCAGAGGATGTTGCTGCGACAGATCCCTCAATCCGAAGTGATGGGCCCAGACCAGATACCGCCGAATATAACCACGGCCAGCCTGGAGAGCAGCAGAGATCCACAGGCACTTCGCAGCAGCACAAACAGGAGCCTCAAAGGTATCACCATGCTGGACGGCGTGCGCAGGAACCACAGGGGCAGGCACAAGCGCCGGCGCAGCAATACAAATTACAAGCTAAGATAACTGGTCTCGAGCGGACTGGGAGAAAGGACCCAATCTTGAGATTTGATGTCCACGTAAGAATCCAGCCTGATTTATCTCCTATTTCCTCCTCGCAAGCTCTGCTGACCTTTTAGACCAATCTACCAAAGTTTCGCACAACCCAATTCCGCGATGTCCGACGAACTCATTCCGAATTCATAAAATTGGCGGACCATCTCATATCATCAAACCCTGAAGCTATTGTCCCAGCTGTGCCTCCCGCATTAACTTCGGCTGGCGCTGGAACCGAAGAAGACGAAATTCGAGTCAAGGCTTCGCTACAAAGATGGCTCAATTATGTCTGTGGGAATGAGGTCTTGATGAAGGATGATGAGATGGTTCTCTTCGTTGAAAGTGACTTTGGCTATAGCCCGATGCTCAAGAGAAAACAACCTGCCACTGGTGTTCGTAGAAGAGTCATCAAGCAGTTTGCCCCTCCTCCAGATGATACCCCAGAACTGCAAAATGCGCGGCCAGTAGTAAAGCTGTTCTATCTTGGCACCATGGATGCTGGACACAAAGTCGATAAGCTCGTCAAAGCTCGAAGAGGTAAGATACAACACGATATTTGATATTTCTAATAAAATGCTAAAGCAGTACAGGTCTTGGGCTTGCAGAGTCCGACTTCGGTGTCAAGATTGGGGCTATGAGTGTCCAGGAGCCACATCAAGGCCTAGCCAATGCTTATCGCAAACTGGGGAAGACCATACAAACCACTGGCGACTACCATGCAGCTCAAGGCACTGCTGAAGCCACGACTATTGGTGATCCTCTCCAATACCATTCTTCTGATTCCTTTATCGTGAAGGAGACTCTTACAAACCGGCACATCCTCTTGCGCGAGTTAATACAAGCCCAGCAGTTGACACGCAGCAAGTTGAGCGCTGCGGACAGGCTGAGAGCAAGCGCAAATGTTCGACGGGAAAAGGTTGATGAAGCCATATCAGCTCTGGATGAAGCTCGTAGTAATGAACTTTATCTTCTCGGTAAGACCCAGCGAGTGACAGCCAACCTCCTGCAGGAGCAAAGGCGATGGTTCTCTCGTACTGCGTCAGATTTGAGGCTCAGCATCCGTGAATATGTGATTCGCGAAATCGAGGCAGAAAGGCGTACGCTGGCCACTCTGGAGAGCATCAGACCCGATATCCGGGCAATTGATTCCTCCGGTGGTTTGAGTAGACTTGGCAGGGAGGGTCACCCTGCAGCGAGAAAAGCAAGTTTAGCAGCGTCTCAGGGGCCGAAGGGGGATGCGTGGAGCGGTATACCGAGACGCCCAGACGGACTGAGCAGAAGCATCTCGGGTAGTCTGATGTCTAACGTACCTGAAGATGCAAACGGCGAAATCGAGCGGGTTCCTGGTCGAGCTAGGGCCATCAGCGGTGCCAGTATAGGGGGTCTATCGGGCGTCAAGGAAGACGACGACGAAGACAGAATTGATGCCAAAAACGCAGCCAGTCGATTGGCCACCTCGACCTTTTGATAGTTGGAGCAGAAGTAGTGCGACTGTATGACAAGTAGGGGTGGTTTTTCTGGGACGTCCCACCCTTGCAGAGGCCTCAAGCTGTCCAGACTGTATTCCCACACTCTCTGTATCATGATAATACACACCTACGAATATGTAGACCACAGCTTGATCCGTTTTACTTGATTACATAGTGCTGAGAGGTATGTAAGAGTTCCTGTGTCCAAGTTGCTAAGCGTCAAGGAGGGCCAGTTCACAGCAGCAGCACGATCCGTCCTGGCAATTCATGTGAAAGTCTCACCGCCACAAGCGACGTTGTGAACAAGCCGCATACCACTGATGCCATGATGTTGCATACGTACACTATACAGCAACCAACATCTATTATGCGCATATTGACTAAGAGTTGGCCATTTTACTCGTTCTTATCATCCTAGATAACCTGTTCTTTGCCTCAACATGCTCGGTTCGAATCGGAAAACCTGCCCTAGGTGACAGTTCCCGACCCTGTTCAAGATACACACTGCACAGTGGACATACACGCTTCATTGCTTCATTCGTGGCTCTGAGGAATGTACATGTACTGTATCGGCCAATCGTACATAGTACATTCAAGTACTCCAACTCCCACTCACCCATATTATTTACATGTCAACTGTCGTATCAGAGCTTGCCAACAGGTTAGCAAAGCTGGACTTGTACACAACAAGCTGCACCTTTATCATTTCACATTGCGCCTTGTCGCACAAGTTTCGATATTTCCCGATTCCTCTATGTTCCAGTCGCTGTTCAAAGGGCGCCCTGGGTGATCATATCATCCGGGTTGGAGCCGTGTCCCCCGGATTAGAGATCCAGATTCTGATCCAAAAGATACGGCAATATACTGGTCAGAATATTTTCGCTTCGTCGGGAGTGGCATCCAGAAGATAGGAGGGCTCCAATCGTATCCCCTTCTCGGCCGTCTGCCTTTACACTGCAGTGCGATCGAAAGAAAGGCTTAACCGAGACCCAATCCACGGCCATAGCATGATGACCCCAGCCTTCTGCATGGAACTTCAGGGGAGTCCCGCACCTAGAGCAGCATGGCTTAGAGGAGGGATGAGATTCGCTCAATGTGCTTCCCGCAATGCCACGCCTGCAGGATATCCCGACATTATGGAGAAGCATTTCGAACTCTGGCGCGAGATTAGAGATAGCTGACAGCGCCGTGATTGCTCATTCAAGTTGCTGTCGCTCATGACAATGGCGGTCAACATATTTATAACAATGAGTGGGGGCCCTCCCTGGCGGGGGTTCACCCCTTCTTTCAACGACCTTCCCCCTCAGAGCTTTCGACTACCAGATCATTGTTGACTAAAATTTCTTTTTCGTGTATGAAAGAAGCGCTACCATGGCACCTGCAGCTACAGGAGAACCTGGGGAAGTAGTCCTGCAAGTATCCCACACGTCTCAAGTACCGACAGAGAAGTCAGCTGTGACACCAAACACTTGCCAGGCCAGTGTGTTGCATGGACCCCTGGACCTGCGGCTGGTGAGGAACCCCTACACTGTTGTTGATGGGATAGTTCGAAGACTGACCGAGTCCAAGGAAACTCGAACTATCGAAGAGCCCTCCTTGGGTGAACTCCAAATCCAGATCAAGTCAACTGGCATCTGTGGATCAGATGTGAGCTACTATAAGAAGTTTGCCAATGGAGATCTTTGCGCTTGTGCTCCTCTATCCCTTGGTCATGAATCCTCCGGTGTCGTAGTTGCCATTGGGCCACAGGTCAATGGCTTCAGCATTGGCGACCGAGTTGCGCTCGAGGTGGGCATACCATGCGGTCAATGCGGCATCTGTAGGAAAGGGCGGTACAACCTCTGCAAGAAGATGAGGTTCCGAAGCAGTGCGAAGAGCGTCCCGCACTTCCAGGGAACTCTGCAAGAGAGGATTAACCATCCCGCCATCTGGTGCCACAAGTAAGCCCCTATCGCTCCCCCCTTGGCCAGAGCCAGAGAAAGGCTGGCTAAGCACATACATACGGGAAGATTGCCGGCCCATGTCTCCTTCGATGCAGCCGCCCTCCTCGAGCCCCTCTCCGTCGCCATCCACTCCGTCAACCGCGCCCTTCCCTCCCCGGGCTCCACCGCCCTCGTTATTGGCGCGGGGACAGTCGGCCTCCTCGTCGCCGCCATGGCGCGGCAATCTGGCTGCACCTTCGTGACGATCATGGACGTCGATGCCGGGCGCGTAGAATACGCAGTCTCGAAAGGCTTCGCCACTCACGGCTACGTGGTTCCTAAACCCCTCCACTCTAGTGCCTCCTCCCTATCCGTCTACACCACGTCCGGGATATCGACTCCCAGCGACGGCGGCGCCATGACTCCGCTCTCGAGCTATAGTTCGATCAGCGACCGACTCGACGGCGCCAAGGCCGTAGCTGCTGATGTCCTAGCTGTCGCGAGGCCAGATATGCCGGCCCTGGATGAAGACGAGGATGAGGGCGTCAACGTGACCTTTGAATGCACCGGCAAGGAGGCATGCATGCAGACCTCGTTGTATGCCACGAAGCCCGGGGGAAAGGTGATCATGGTCGGTATGGGGACGCCTATCCAGACGGTCCCGCTCTCGGCGGCGCATCTGCGCGAGGTTGATATCCTGGGCGTTTTCAGGTACGCCAATACGTACCCGACGGGCATTAGGTTGCTGGCCGGTAAAGACAACATGAAATTGCCGAGTTTGGATGATATGGTGACGCATAGGTTTAAGGGGCTGGGAGCTGCGAAGCAGGCGTTTGAATTGGCGGGGAGGACGGTGGACGATGAGGGTAAGTTGGTGTTGAAGGTGGTTATTGAAGCTTAGTTACGAGTACAGATGGTGTGGAATGGGTACTTGGTATGGGCATCTTGGATCTCTGCAGGTAGGAAATGTGAAGGGCATTTCTGGTTTTCATTGAGGGCGGCTGCTTGTTTGTAGTCCAGCGTAGATCGTTTTGATAATGATGATTAATTTGGTCGGTAGACAACAGCATGCAATTTGCTATTTACCTACCTAGCTCATAATTGAACCTTTTCATTTCGTGAAGTGGTCGCTAGCTGAACGCCTCGCCTCGACATCCCATGTTCTCAACCTGTACGCCAAGCCAATGCGTCATTTATCCCCCACGTTCTTGATTTCCCTTGATCCCCCTCTCCCGCTATGTATGAAGGTCTCCAACACCCAAAACGTGGCCACTCGGACCCTCCCAGTTTGGTCTTCCGCTATCTCCTTTCAGCTTCGTTTGCTTCCTGGACTCAACTACGGCGAACTTTCTACCAGCCTCCCTTACATCTTTGACACTGTTTGTGATCATGTTGAGCAAAGAGACAAGGCTCACATCATTCTCCTCCGACCTGAGCTCTTGCTCAAACGCGGCAGCGTCTGCGGGGATAAGGAGACTCAGTCGGCTAAGTAGTGCTTGGATCGATCGTAGGACCGCATGATTGACCGGGGTGTGATCCGTTGTAGTAGAGTCAACGCCTTCGGGGACAGTATCTGAGATGTAGGATGGTGGGAGGTTCTGAAGGTAGGTCGCAATTAAGTTGATCCGGGCATGCAACATCTTGATCGCATTTGCCTTGGCCGTTAGAGAAGCAATGAGCTCCTCGTCTTCGCGGGAAAGTATATTTTGATCGCTGATCTTTGCAGGCTCAATCTCAGGCTCGTCTTTTCTCTTAGAAGCTCGTGCTTTGCCCTTGCCAATAGCCTCTTCTGCCTTCGGTTTCTTAGGTCCCGCATCCACAGCTGTAGCATTTCCTCCGCCTCGGGCAACAAAGTCAACACTGATCATTTCAGCTTCACCCGTCTCCACAGTATACGGCAACTCCTTGAACTTCAATTTAAGTTGTGGCTCGCCGTCCTTCATCTCCTTGTCCTCCTCGGATTCTGCATTGTTCTCTTCCGCCTCGTAGTTACTTTCGTAAATCGTGAGAGGGAGCTTTCCACCCACTGGGCCTTCAAGTACGGCAGTTGGGTGAAAGCCCAGAAGAATCGCAGATTCGTTATACGAGTCAAGGATCTGTCGGTGGATGGGAAGGTGAACGGGCTGGGGCCCTGAGGTGGGGAGTATTGTGTACCAACCAACGAGATCCAATGGAGGATCCTTATGTACATCCTTCACTACAGAACAAATTGAGGTTAACAAATGAATAGCTGCAGTTCCAAAAGTTGGACATACTTTGCTGTAATCGATCTTCAAACCATGCTTTGTGTAGTAACGTCTCGCCTTCAACTTCGACGAGAAGGCACTCGAAAGCATGCTCAATAGTTATCTCTCTTCCATTTTGCTGACCCAGTAATGCCCCCACGACAGCACCTTCTTGGTTCCGCAAAGTGTGTCTGGTAATGTAGTCGGAGATGGTGAGGAGAACCAGGGGATGGAGAGCTACCTGGAGACCCGAATCTGAGGATTTCTGGCTGGAGAGCAGCGGGTTTGAAGCCTCGACTGCCATGTTGTAGAATGTGTACTAGGGAGTGTTATTCAATATCAATCAAGACTTGGGCTGGTTGTTGATGTTGGGAGGAAAGCTGTCATTGGTAGGCGCATGCCGCAGCTTGATTGCCTGAAGCTTATCGATAGAAAATGTACCGCTGAGCGCGCCGTCCGCCGTAATATTACACGTGATCTTCCATGAGCCAAACCTCACCACACATTCATTCATTCCTCCTCCAACTCCATGCTATGTGCTATGAAACCTAAAGGTCCAAGGATCGTAAGATTCTTTCCTCTCGAGGTTTAAAAACGAAGAGATGAAAGAACTCATGCCACCTGCTGTGCTAAGAAGCAAGAACATTTCGATCATGGACAAGACCAAGTGGATCTTCTACGCAAATGCTGTCCCCTTTTGTCAAGGCATCTTGCAGGATGCCTTTATTTCATGCTTTGTTTAATTCCTCTACTAACTAGGTGGATTATATCTTTCTGGAGATCCCCATTCTGATTTGTTTCTTCCTTTTGGCTCTTCAACGTTCTTCTTGCGATGGCCCAAGCGGAGACAATTGACGTTCCCACATCTCCATTACCCCCATCACAGCCCGCCAAAACCTCTGCTCCGAGCCAACCCCATAAGCCGGATGAATTGCCAATAGAAATTGTGTCACATACTGTCAGCAGCAATGGTAGCCAAGAGCAGCGGCAGACAACTACAAATGCTTTGGAAAATCAGGATGACGAGGTGCAGTTCGTTTTCTCTGTCCCACGACGTAGGAAGAAGAAACGGAAGAGGTACTTACAGTCAGACATTCAGTGAAACTGTACTAACTGGTTTGCTAGACTTGGATCTTCATATAACTTGCCAAATGCCAGCCAAGTTTCCAAAACTCCTGGAGATGCTCCTTCTGGAGCCGCCCCTTCCACTTCAACACCATCACAGAAAGCCCGGCGAAGAAGTACAGGCATGGTCCAGCAATTAGAATCATGTCATCTTAGCGGACGAATACCGGATTCAGCAAAAAGTGGCTCTCTGCCCGCGATCACTGCGAATTTTCAGGCCGATTTGACAACCCATCCTGAGCCCGCCTGTATCCCGTCGCCGAATATGGCATTGCTACCTGCGCACTCTTCGTTGTTGCCGGATTTGACTTCATGGTGGAGCAAGCAGATACCCCCAATTCAAGACAATGATACGTTGGAATTTGATTGGTGTGGCATGCCATTTGCGGACGAGATACTAAAGAGAAAGCATGAAGGAGAACCAGAAGAACCAAGGCCCAGTCCCGCCGAACGACCACAATATGTTCAGTCTTCAGTTCAAGTCAACCCAGGATTCTCTGACCCGGGATCTTCTAGTACGGTCAATGAAGGTACTTCAGACCCTTGGAGTAATCCAAGTATACAGGACCCCGCAGAAGCCCATATTCCATCGGCAACCTGGTGGCCGGGTTTTCTGGGCACACCCGGCGTTCATAGCTTTATTCAGCCACAATCCGCGTATTTCACTGCCCCTTCAAGCAATCTAAATGCCGCGAATCACCTGTGGCGCCGAATATCGCGACAACGATCGTCGCAGAGTCCATCTTCGCCACGGTCGTTTCCAAACCAGACATGGCAGCAACAAACCATCCAAGTTCCAGCATCGCATGTACCAGAGCAAAGCGTCTCTCCTCGAACTAAGACGGTCCAAGTAGTGAGATCGCTCGACCCAACCCAACCTCAACATCAACCATCACCAGCTGCAACTTCAAGGAGTCCAGCCGTGCCCAGTTCACCGTCACGGTCAGCCATGAAGCCCAACGAGGCATCGTTGAACCCAAACCATCAAGGTCCCCGTCAGAGACCACACTCCTCATCCTTAGAGTTTCAGCAGATTGGATCTACTTCAGACCGCCCAACCCCAGCCGTAGAGCATTTTAGACACGTGCACTCAAACCCAAACGATATCCTGCGAAAACCCTCTCTATACAAAATCCCCCCTTGGCCTTCTCCACAAATATCTCTCCATCCTCCTCAGCCTTTGATTACCGCTACACATTCGTCATCTTCTAACATCAGAAATGGCATTTCGAATAATGCCCGGACGCCCATTCAATCATTAGGCGCTCAAACTGCTTCCTCTCCCCCGGTCACCAACGGAACGCAGACTCCTCTTGGCCAGGATATGCAGGCTAACTCTCCTCCCTCAGTTGCACGGCTATCAAAATCTCGTCCCACAGCTACGGGTCAAGCCCAGGTTACGAGCTCAAGTCAAATTCAAACAAGCCAATCCACGCGCAAGCACTCGCCAAACCTGTACGTCTCTCCTTCTGTTCCTAATCCCAGACTAACTGTTATATAGAATCGTAGACATAGCCGAAACATGCCAACAAAACTTCCCCTTTGCAGCCGTTGCGGAACGGCACAAACAGCCGATCCAAAAAGTGTTTGATACCTTCTCAGCCATCATTCAGCTCCCTCTCTTGCGATCAGCGGCGGACCATCGACGACATGGCAGTTTAGGGAAGAGGAGGATGAAGGAATTCCGAGATGCGAAGAAGGCAATGGAGAAGGCACAGGAGCAGGAACGAAAGAGGGCTTTGAGGGAAGAGAAGAGGGCAGAGAGTGGAGATTTAGGAATGCATAAAAAAGCAAAAAAGGGACCCGGGCTCTTGAAGGCTGCTATACTGAACAATGCGCGGGAGAAGGAGGGCAGTGCTGCGTCATGACAGGCCCACTACATCGATATCTCGTTTTGCTGTTTGAGTATGTTTGATTACCACGAGCTAATAGATAGATAGGAAGTTTTACAACTGTGATATATTCAGCAGATGAACTTGATTATATCCAGCACTCACTCAATATAAACTCAATTTCGATACAAGAGACTACATCAATCCTCAGTTTCCTCACTCTCACTCGGCCCCATCACCACTAACCCAAGCCATCCCACTCTCCCCCTCCCACACCCCCCAATCCACAAACCCGTCCCAGTTCCTCCCCCCAACTACAGCCAATCTCTCCCTCCTCACCCTCTCATTCTCCAACACCCGCCTCTGCACCTCCATCTGCTCTGCCGCGCTCCCCACACCCCTCATCCTCTCCATCAACTTCTCCCTCCGCCCATCATGCTCTTTATTAATCCTTGCGAGTAGCAGCGGCGGATGGCAGTTCGCGCACGTATCGTTAAGCGACGTGGTCCGCTTGAGGATCTTCATGCATGGGGAGTCAGAGCAGAGCGTTGGGGATGAGCGGATGTGATGCCCGCATGTGAAAGTCGTGGTTGTTGAGTGGCACATTCTTGATCCTTCTTTTCCTATTTTCTTCTTTTCCTTTTTTTCCCCTTGTGCAGTTTTTGGAAAAAGGGGATTTGGGGGTTCCTATTTTTGTGTATGTGTTTGTGTATGTGTATGTGTCTGAGTGACGAGTATATGTATATTTTCCTCCAGTACATATCGGGCAAATCAACAACTATTTTATCCCTCATAACAGCATTGTTCTGTACTTGCATCACATTGTTCCTAGAAACAAAAACGCTCTTTGTTATTTAGAAAGAAACAATGAATAGATTGTAAAACAGAAAGGTTTCTGAACCCAAGGCTTCTTTGTCTTTTGTTTTTAGTTTTTGTTCTCTCGGGTTCGAAAGTTCCTTGCTTGGGAGCTCATGCTTGTGCTTGTGGGATGGCTTTCTATTCTCTTTTGGGTTTGAATTTTATTATTGGGGAATATATTACTTCTTGCTAGGAAAATTTTGGTCTTTTCGGGATTTTGGGAAAGGCGGAGAAAGGGAGGGGGGGGGGGGTTAACGCTAGTTCACATAAACAGAATTTGAAAGATATATGCAATTCAATCCTAAAATAGCGCTTGATTATGATAACCAGCGAGCAGATATCTTCTCAATTGCCCTCGACAAATATAGGAGACGGGGTGCTGAAGAAAAGAAGCATGAAATTATTAGGGAAGCGGGCTTATACAAATCACCTAATGCACAATCATTAAGAGCGGTAGTTATTATCAACATACTTTTGTGCTTAGCATCGCATGACTAGGCTCAGGAATGGTATCTCTACACAGAAGTCCAAATAGCAATCCACTTGGACATCTCAATACTTGCTTCTTAGCAATTCTTCATAAGTTCATTTGCATGGGGCTCCATGCTGCAACATGCCTCACAGTCAAGCAAATTTCATCATTCCCAAGTGCCTTTCTTTCATTTCTTCGCTTACCTTCTGGCTCCAAGGGGTTCCTTCGAAAGCAGCCTCTTCTCCGCGCGGATTTTTCGAAATTTTTCTTTTCTGCCTCTCCTCTGGTCTGGCTCCATCACCCGAGCAGGCTTTCGGGACTGAGGTTGGGAGTTATTTCTACCGAAGAAAAAGATGGGACTCGCAACTTTTAAGCTGTCACCATCTATATCATCCGTACTTCCATTACCCATACTATCTTCGTCGGTGTCCTGGGTAAGGTCGATGATGGGTTTGTCTTCTGTCAAATCAATGATTATTCGCCCTTTCTTTGATCTGCCATCTTCAACAGCTCCATGGTTCTTGGCGTCTGGTAAAATTGGTGGGCCAGGAATTATTTCGGATACTTTGTCAACTTGCATTTTGTCCTGCAATTCCGCAATGCGGTCTGCCACCATCTCGGGATGATCCATATGCAAGGCAGCTTTCGGAAGTCCACCATCAGGCGGTAGGCTCTCGTTCCCATTGTTTTCCCATGGCTTGCCAGCCTGTTGCAGACCCATGATGGGTCGTAATCCTGGCGGCTGGCCAAGACGGATAAACTGCGAACTGTTCTCCGTTCCAGGTGGTAACTGGTTTGCACCATTCAGGTTTCTGCTGTTTGTCAACATACCGGCGGATGGATTATCCATCCCCGCTAGATTGCTCCATCCCAGGTAGTTAAGACTCCCCAAGGGCGCATCAATATGTTTCTGCAATTCCTCCAGATCCCGGCGGTCCAAAGCATCTTTCAGGTTTCGCATTTTTGAAGACCTCGGAGCATCCTTCAACCCAAGCACCAGCTGCAACGCATAGCCCACCATACTCTTAATCCCAATGATTGACACTCTGTTTCTGTGAACAGCATTATTGCGGATCTCACGGCAAGATCTAAAAATTTGTGCCACCCCGAGACCATGGAAGGCAACGGCGTATTCTGGAACACAGCAATCCTTGAATATGTTCCACCATGCGGTGAGCTCGCCTTGCTCCGGTGTATCCCAATCTCTCCGTTTTAAAACTTCTGGCAGCCACTTTTGCGCAAAATAAAAACAGGCTTCCTCGAGGAGAGTTTGGACCGTAGTTAGGAGGTCATGTTGGAGCTTGAATGGTAAATATGGTGCTGCCCGATATATAGTTCCGGCGAGTAGGACTTGGGCATCCTGATTGTATGTCGCAGGTTGTCGTGTAAACTCATTATGTTGATTGAAATGCATGGTTGCTGGTCCCAAAGGAGCATACAGACCATCATTTTGTGCTCCTTGAGGCCAGAATGTTGGAAATCGACCGGGATGACTGATTATGTTGCTCTGCGTGGTTGTACGAAAGGTTACTATTTCGTTGGGAGGATAGAGGGGTTTGTTGTGGATGTTCTGGAGAGTTATCAGGGATTGTTAGAACGTCGTGTATCACTAACCTCATTGTTTGATCGCGGGATAGGAGCGATTACCTTCGAAGACTGATATCCCCCATTATTGGATGTGATGGCTTCATCCGGGTATCCTGTAGAGTTATAGTTCCCTTTACCCTCTTCAGCTGCTAAGGTTAGTCTGTCACAGTATGATACACACAAATGAGATGAGTTACCTTCGATCTCTTTATCAAAAAGTGACATTTGGCCTCGAAGCTCAACAGGATTCACGCCCCTCAACTTCAGGGCCCGGTCATCTAGCTCCAGGAACTCACCATAGCTTAGATCTTTCAAGTTCTCGGTATACTTTTCAAGTTCGAGGCTCCTCACCCAGCTTGGTATCGGGATATCTGGAAGGAAGGAGGGAATGGGACTTTGGAGATTGAGATGATTGGGAGGACCGAGGTTACCTGTTCTTTGTAATCCGTCGACTTTCAAGAGATCTGCTGCGTCCAACCTCCGAGGCTTTGCGGGATTTGGAACTTGAAATTTGGCTTTTCTCTGAGAATCTAGGCCACTAATCCCCGGCTGCTCTGTACTGTATGAGACTGGAGCATGGTCCATTGGCTCACTACAGCGCTGACTGCCTATGGAAACTGCAAGGGGACTAGATAAGTGACCAATTCCATGAACACCTTGAGAATCCGGCGGGCCAGCCGAGACGTCGGCTGGGTTTGGGATCAAAGAATTGCACAGATCTCCAACCGGTCTCAACTGCATGGGGTGCTTTAGCCCGGGGGGTGTGAAAGAAGGATCAGGCCATTTCTCGGGAAATGGGATGTAATCATCTCCAAACTCGCTCTCTCCCAACCGTGAGCCCTCCATCTTAGATGATCGGTCCGAGAAGAACTTGTTGTGCTCTTGCTGAGCGGATTCTTTCCCTCGGATAATTATGGTTGGGATTCGGATGCCTCTAGATCGAGACATTGGAGAAGACGCGAGAAATATTTCCAAAGGAACAAAGCGCGTTGAAGAAGACGCGTTGAAGAAAAGGAAAAATCTCACATCACCTTCTTCCAAATTGATATTTGATGTTTCTCACAGGAGAAGCAAGATCGATCGTGATGGAAGTGAACGAGAGGAGGTTCGCTTAGGATTCACGTGCCACGGGAGCGAGTGACCAGCCTCGAAATCCAATATCAAAACACAACTCGCTTGACCTTTTTTTTCGAAGGAAAGGAAAGCAACATGCATGAAATGAATATTGAAGTGCGCCTTATAATTTCTGTTTTGATCTGACTAGGAACTCACCAAGATATCTTAGCCCGGCCCCGATGAATTATCCTCGCTTACCTATTATAAGAAAAAGGGGGTTGAACAAAGGAATCGACGAACAACAACTGCGGATGACTGCGGAGAAGGGGCACAGCGAAGAAAGATATAAGGAGGGGAAATTTTTTCTTCTGTGTTATCCACAAGATTCAAACGGTCTTGCAAACGACAATGACATCATCAATATGCTGAAGATCCGAACTACGGAGGGCCAGTTGGAGGCAAGCAGCAGAAGAAAAGACTAAGAGCTTCTGCTACATGAAAAGGGTCACAGACATTAGGGCAGTTGCAAGCCCATGCTGATGAGGCTTTTGTGAATGTTGAAACTTGAAGGACCAAATTCTTCCATCGAAGGGACCTTGGCGAGGCGTGTTATTAATCAAAATTGTCGGTCACTTATGCCATTTCCACCAACTAATGCACGGACCGGTCGGATGGGGTTCTTGAGTGTAGTTGCTTTCCTCTCGAGTTAACAGAGGTTTCGTGGTGCCCTAGGTAGGATTCTACATCTTTCAATGCCTCTAAGCACCAGTTGCACGATTCATCGGGCCCCAATTCTCTCTCGGGTTCACTTGATATCTCACCAGCTTCTTTGCGTCTTTTTCCCTTCCCAACTTCTCATCGAATACAACCTCGAGCTTCTGTTTTTCGTCCTTCCCAGCATTTGCTTGGTCAGTCGTCCCATTATTTTCGTGACCCCCTTCCTTGCCAAAACCCATAATGGTCCATCCGGCAGTATCCTTTCTGATAGCACCTTCTTTGACTGGTGCCTTTTGTCTTGCCCATTCCCTCATAACCTCCCAAATAACCTCCCATGGTGCATCTGTCTTTATGCTTCCAGGCTTTGTATGGCTTCGCGTGACTCTATATCCCAGATGCCTCAAAGCACCTCTCAGGGCATTTTCATGTGGTGTGACGCAATGGATGACCTTTGCAAGAACGGACGGAATGAAGAAGAATGGGTATAAATCAACCGCGGCAGGGTCGTAGCGGTTTGTCTTCTTCGTAGAAGTCGGGGAATGCGAATCATCCTCGAGAGGCGGGAGTGACTCTTCCAATGCAACGGTAAGCATGCCTTCGATGCGATCGATGGTCTGATAAGTATCTCTGGATAGGCTCGGTAAACCATCGAGGATCTTCTTTATAAACTCGGGAGAGTGCAAAGGCCCGGCATACATGGGCCCGGCCATGTGAGTCTTCATTCCGCAATGGGAACAAGTTTCGCTCGTAGAAGGTGCCAATGCGAAGCTGTGTTTCCAAAAATGTCCGTTTCCATTCTTGTTTTGGGCCAGTTTGTTCTTCGCCATAAGCTGCGTCGTCCACGCCCCACAACCTGTATCGCAATTGTATACAACCATTGTCTTTCCTGCAAGAAATTTAACATCTGCCGCAGATTTGTGGATTCGGACGAAGACCCGTGCATAGAAATCAATCGAGAGGGAGAGAAGGGGTTCCATCGCTAGACCATATCGTGCAGCTGAGGTGGCAATAGCATGTAGAATTAGGCGGAGGCCACCCTCATGTGAGTGCATCCCTTTTATAGGAATTCCTCCGTACAGGGAGAAGGATTTCTCGGGGTAACCGTTTGATGCCCAGACGCCTGCATCCGTGCATGTAACGCACAGAAGTCCTCCATTATCCTGAACAGCCTGCACAGCAGCATCAAGGAATGGAGCGGCGGTTCCATAAGGATCAAGGTCAATAACATCGTATTTCTTGTTAGGAATAGGTCTCCCTTTGTCATCCCTGCAGCTGTCACCCGCTAGGTCGTACATGTGTGACAGGGCATTGCCCGTATTTGGCTTGATCTTGTTCTCAAGCTTGTTGTGTTTGACATTCAGCTCAATTGCCTTCGTGGCTGCAGGTAAGAGGTCATTCGCAGTGACCGAGGTTGTGAAGGGGATTTCGTGGGCATATCGCAGAGCGCGTAACCCAGTGGCTGAAAGGGCATCGAGGATTGTGAATGTTGGTTCCGCTGATTTCGGTTCAGGGCGTGGCTTGCCTTCGTCATGACCCGGGTCTACTGCTGCGCTCTGCGCTTGCTCTGTCGCCTTAGCAGGAGCTTGATCTCCCTCCTGGGGCTGTGGTACTGGCGTGACACTCGCGGGCCCATCTGGCTTTTCTGGGTCTTCAACAAGCTGTCTCTCCTCAGGCAGCTTGGTGCTTCCAGGTTGAACATCGCCATCGGCCGACGCTGTATTGTCCGTGGCCGAATCTCCAGCCGACTCCTCAATCCTTCCGGACTTCCTCGAAAGTCCGTCACCTTCGTCCTCTTCCCGCTTCCTTTTCTTTTCCCTGTTTTTCGCAGCAAGCTTCTGCCTGGAATTTGCCTTGCTTTTCCTCTTCCTCTCCATGACCTCCTCTCCATATGCCTTTATTGCCAATACACTCAAATCTCGATTGAATTGTTGAATGGGGTTATAGAAAACCGATTGAGGTTGATTGTCTCCCCGCGGGGTAGTTTGAGGAGTCGCAGAGGCCGAGGCAGGGATCAGGATGTGCGCCAGACCTTCCTTGACTGTGGTATACTCCTTCCCATCATGTAATATGTGCTGGCCAGCAGCTGGTGGTGCTGAGATGTCGCGGGGAGTGTTTGAAGACATGGCGCAAACTGTAGTGCGAAATTGGCGCACGTTAAGAGAGGTAACACTTAGTAGAACTGGACGTCTCTTCGCAAGGCATCTGAGTGTCGCGTGTATTGATTTCATGCGGGGATATCGAAATCAACGAATGGGATGTTGAATGAAAGTATGGTCGCGGGGTGCTCCAGTATTTCCTTGGCCGGATTGTTCAAAATATTTTCTGCCGTGGCGCTAAGACGCGTTCAAGCAGGGCCAGGGCGGTCAATAGAAGATGCGTGGGCACGTGCTCACTCATCACGTGGAAAGACGGCTTTCCCAGTCCCCTGCGATGAGGCTTTCCGTGGCTTTTCGCCATAGCAACATATAACCGGGTATCAGCATATCTACGGAGGTAGATACCGAGTATGTATTCACCATATCCAAGGTCCCAAGCATACAGTGGTGACCATACCCAGGTTTTATTTGCCATAGCCAGGTATTGCGGCACCTACCCAGATATCGTTTACCATACTGTCTGTACGCAGTTGGATGCCGCGAATGCCGCGATGCCCGGGATGGCTGCATGGTACTTTAAGAGTGCTCTCGTCCCCTTGCTGCCACCTGGTCCAGTGAGAAATGAGATGTATTGGATGGTCCGTACATCCGATCTCCAAGCTCCAAGCTCCAAGTTCCAATCGCCATCGGCCAGGCGCAGGAGGGCGCAGGAGTTGTCTTGTGTTCTTTGTACCTCATTACTCCGTATTGCTCTAAACTCAAGTCGGGTTGGCCTTCTGTTTTCCACTACCAACCCCACCCCCCGGATGGTCCTAGTGGGCTGCGGAGTAGCAAAAGTCTATCATTTCCCCGCCGAACTTCGCAAATCATGGCTCACATAGTATTACACCGGAGTTGAGAGAGAGAGACTTGCCAACTTGTCAAGAGACGCAAGGGAAATTCCGGACAAACGCAAGGAAAATTCCAGACAAACGCAAGGGAAAGTCCCAACAAACGCAAGGGTCCAAACAAGCTCAAGGGACAGTCCAGACAAACACAAGGGACAGTGCAGAGGAAGTCCTCAACCCTCCTGTGCAACGAGCATTTTCTGCCAAGGGCGTAAAGCACCCAACCTATGACCTGGAATTGGTGCGTACAAACGACCACAAGCCCTTCTTCGTATTCCAAGATCTGGTGCAGTACCGCAGCACAGCATACCCGGGATCACCGCAGATAGGTTTGCCCCAACAAGGCCCAATAACCAAGCGCCAGTGCGGAGATCCCCCGTCCCACTACCTCACCCATGTTACTCCAGGCTTGTCCTGGCACCCCCTGGGGTCACTCCACAGGCCTGGGAGCACCTAGAGGCCTCTTAGAGCTATTACTCCGCAGATCAGCACTGGAAACCCCTGGCACAACAGCAAGATTCTCTCCCAATCAGGCGTATCCTCCGTGGCCTGCCTCGGTATGGTGCAAGATTTGCTCTGGCCGTTTTCCCCGTAACATCAGAACCACGATTATACGCGGTAGTAGTCCTGCACAACCATGAAGACTTCCCTGCTGCTCAAGTTCAAGTCTAGCGCAGGCGTCCTTCATTTCATTATAAATTAATAAATAATGATAAAGATTCACATGCGCGCACATGCGCGCACATACTACTACTCGGTCTTTGTCTCTCCTCGGTCTGCTCTTCACGATCGTCCCTCACGATCATCCTTTGATGTGGTCACTTAGCTGCTCGTGAGCCCTTTGCTTCTCCAGACCGGTCCCTGCCGCCCCCAGATTCTCCATATTAACTCCGCACCTCCCCCACACGTTCCCTTCTCTTGCCTTTCCTTCCTGGTCCGCGCCCGAGTACATATTCGTCGGTGACCCGTTCAGACCCGCCATCAATTTCTTCTCATCACATACGCCTTCACCATGAGTGGAACTTTGGATAAGAGTGCGTCAAACGAGGGCAATGGGTATTCGGAGAAGATCGAGGGCCAGGGCCAGCAGATAGAGCAAACACCCATCGCCCCCCGCTCTAGCTTTCTCGCCATAGCCAAGAGACATTTCAAGCGGTTCTGGTGGGCCCATCTGATATTTTTCTGCGCTTCCGTTCTTATCATTGCGTTATGTCTGTGAGTATCGCCCGAACTTTCATGTCGCAGAAGCGTAGAACTCATGAGATGGCAGTGTCTACGTTGCAATGCCCAAGATCGCCCAGCGCGGTGTCAACAGGTCAAGCACTACCTTTACCGACCTGAACTTTCTTGACCCGACTGCGAATACCATCGTTCTCTCACAGGATGCTATTCTTCACAGCCCTAGCATGTACACTCCAACATTAGACCCCTTCAGCGCGGCTCTCTACCTGGTCACGAACGGTACCTACGCTGCGACCCCGATGCTGAGCATTATGATGCCGAAAATCCACGCCTTGCACCCAAAATCTATTGTGCACACTCCTCCGCAGACGTTAAATATCTCGGATATGGATCAACTCACGGATTATTGTATTCAGGTGTTGACGCAGGAGAACGTGACTACCGCATTGGTAGGAAAGACGAAGCTGCATGAAGGGAAATTGCCCGTGATCACCGTTAAATACAATTCCTCGACAACGTACAAGTCTCTCAATGGGCTGGCAGGCTTCAACGTTACCGATCTGAAGCTCAACCTGAGTGCGCCAGCTGGGCAACCAAATCTCGTCGGCAAGGCATTTATCCCCAATCCGTCCGTGATGACTATCGCCATGGTAGGTTCTCATCTCGCGGTCTTTGATACGTGAAATACTCATTCTGGACATAGGGAAATGTGACTCTCAACCTGTCAACTGACCAGGCCGGCATAGTTGGAAATTCCACCATCCATGAGATGACCCTAGTTCCTGGAAACAATACATTCTCAATGACTTCCATCATCGATGCCGGGAAAGTTACCTCGAGTATGAACAAGTCTGGTATCGTCACGCTCAAGATCATAGGCACGTCTTCGGTCTATAACGGACAGCATCTGCCTTACTATGTGAGTTTTTCATTTTCTTCCATTTGAATATCAGCGGCGGGTGTCATCAGGCAGCGGACGTGTGCTAATAACCTAACAGGAGAAAGCTTTGGCCAGCAATGTCCTCACCCTTGACCTGAACGTCGCCGCGGTTCTAGCGAATAGTCAATGAGGGCCGAGCTAAAGGCATAATCTCGCTACAAGGGGACGAAACACGAAGCCGAAGATTTTGGGTCATCATCTGTTGAAGGTCCGCATATACGCATGGGCCTAGATGGAACGGTGGGACCTCGGGAAAGACGATGAAACAACTGCAGTGTTGTGTTTTTGGGGAGCAGTTTGCACGGGAGATATACCCTTTCTTATGGTTGGGCCACTTTGACAGTTTTGGATTGGGTATAATTGGGTATTCCGTATGTATATAGATTCTCGATCAATCAAAAATTGCATTGATCGATCAATCTATACATCTCTCTCTACTTTGAAGTATCATTGAGGGGGGAAAAAAATTCATGTAGATGGATGGGGTATGCCAAATGACCCAAAAGACTACGAGATGGCCATTATTTGGTAGCAGTTTCACCAGGTACATACCTAGGTAGAAGTGGTCAGATCAAGATACCCCGCCATGGCATCTAGGCAGAGCGGGGAAATGCAAAATACCCTTGTCCTTCCGCGTCTATAGATCAAATAAAAACCAATCTTTTGTCATCCAGCCAAGAACCCAAAAGCGGGGTGAAGATTCATGCACGCACAGGCCGAGGCTCAATCGAAAAAAGCACGAGGAGGAGCAGGGCGCGCAAACCAATCACATCATTAACAGAAAGTGCCCCCGAAATTCTTATCAACCCGAATAACAGTATCTGATGTTGGATCTGCATCAGGTAGTAGTATTTGGAGGGCGGGGTAAAATGCAGCTTGATGGCGGGGTAGGACAACCATCTCGGACTTGCACATGCTGGGTTCATCGAAAATATGAACTGATTGATGTATGTAGTATTCTTCTTATCGAAAGGTTGGAATGTTAAGCAAGAAATGATAGGCCAATAATAGGTTTAGGGGGGTTTTCGTGGGTGGGCTTGTTTGTAGGATTTTGCTAGATGCTAATTACACATAATGGCTCGTTTTTTGTCAACGGTCAGATGAAGGAAGAAGGAAGTAGGAAGTAGGAACCAACCCCTCCTTTCTAAAGTTGGGGATAGATAACGCTAATCTAGATGATCGGAAATTTGTGTGGGCGTCTGGGGGAGATATGGATGATGATGTGGTATGGGTAGGTATATAATAGACTCATGATACGTGATTGAAAACACCACGCTCTAGATATTGTGTAGGTACTTTTAAGTTAGAGCACAACTCATACCTCACATACGTACCTACCGTACAGCACTATGCCGCTGAGCTCACCATGACACCGAAGAAAATTAATTCCCAGCGCAACGCAGTGAGTGGTTTCGCACAAGAAAATGACAATATAGAAAAGAGATCATCAACATTTCCACCATTTTGCGCCGAGCAAATCACCTTACTTAACGCGCGAGCCGTAGCTGGAACTTTTATAGTAGGTAGAGTAAAAAGAATAAATTAAAATAAAATAAAATAAATTGTGGCCTTCGATTTTTCGATTCTAGCTGGCACTTGCCCGCCCATGGCCCGACGGCCATCGCATACGACGTGCAACAAACTGTCAAGCCGTACTTCAAAACAGCCCTAAAATAAAAAAATAGCGGACTCCGACTTGTCATAGACCGTCAGTCAGTCCGGTACTACCGGAGGCTTATTATTGATTGATGGGATGAGTGAGTGAGTGTCCTTGGACAGTTGTCTCGATGGCGCATGGCTGAGTGGAACTAGATGTCCATGTATGTATCGTAAGTCAGGTCGTCCGGAGTACGACGACCCCAAAGCGTGATGGGTTAATAAAGCAATGGTAGATATCGAACGAGTCCTGAGAAGCGCATTGAGAGGATGTCGTTGGTTGATGTTGATAGATCCGCGCTGTCGTGGGTGGTAAGGTAAGGTAGACTTGAGGCGCATTTCTGGAGGAGTGCGGCCCGTTGCCCGACGAGCGAAAGCCCGAAGCAAGGAGTTCACAGCACTCCAACTTCAGCTCCGCAAAATGATGCTATGAGCCGGATCGATTCAATTCAGCTCTGTGTTCCTCAAGGTTTAATTTTGAATCCCGTATAATTGGCATATGAGGTCCCCCCCCTCCCTATATGCTCTTACCAAAGTCGACCACATGAGAGATATGCTTCTCTCAGGAGTGGGTAAGTATATCAACCACTTTTCAACAATCAGCTATCACATACGACCACAGACTAAGGAGAACTGGGCATCCCGTCCGCTCTGCCATACATAAGCCTTAGATCGGCAGATTAGTAGTTGGGTGGGTGACCACCAGCGAATACCTGCTGTTGTATGTTATTTTGCATTTTTTTTTCTTTTCTTCTTTGCATCCCTCGAACTAGGTACTCCTGTCGTGTTTTGCTCTTTTTTTGTTTTTTTATTCGTCCTGGAGTGTAGATGGGGTTTGCTTTGTGTTTGATATGATTAGGAGACTATGTTTGATATCTAGAGGTGAAGCGGAACATATGGCGCACAACAACTTGGGCAGAGCTTATAAATTTTAATTCTTTTTTTGAAGGGCGATGACAGACACTTGCTCAAGAGACGTCCCTGTATACAGAGCTTTGAGTGAAAATAGCTAGCTACTAGGGGTTGATTGCAATTTATAGGTGATGTTGCATTGGGACATGATTCTTTCTGGTGAAGATCGAGATCCAGACCAGAGCAGCATGATAAATAGAGCGGAAGAACTTGCTAATGCTCACTCACTAGGTATGTAGATCAACAAAAGAAGTAATTGCCCTCTCAGTATCTATTGTGCATGACCTACGGACAGTGTAAAATGACTAGGCAGCTATCATAAGCAAGGGATGTGATGCAAGAATTGCCAGACCAGCCATACAATGTTACAAGCAAGGATTGAAAGACGACCACTGTCCCTAAAAACTACCACCCTACTTACAAGATGCCCGCAGTACGTCAGTAAATCAGCTCTTTACCCGTGTACTGATCCAAAATCTCTATCCATGGCGTGTTGCCATTGGGTGGTGCCCCAGGTGGCGACCTGAATAAGAGGCCTCCAAGCTCTTGATATAATTGATTGTATATCCTCGAAAGCTCGGTCTGGTATACCTAGGGATTGCATGGCATAGAAGGATTTGGGTCGTGTGGGTGTAATGATTATGTTTCTGTTGACCAAGGAATTTGTCGAGCACTGATTGATGCATCGCCATAATAATCGAGCTGATGGATCGTCCTTCGAGGCCATATGCTGTGACGGTTTGAAATTGAACCGTAGCATAGTTAGCGAGGAATCCAGAATTACAATGGAAATTCTTCCACCGAATCATGAAACCTCTTTGCCCAGACCCTGATCCTTTCAAGTGCTTCAGGAGTTCCACCACGATATCATTGGGTATCTACTGGAACTGATTCAATTTGACCAACAAATCCACTAACTCCGGCGAGCTCTCCGGATTCAACGCGATCGACTCGAGACTCTTGTACATCGTGGTATCTGTGGAAGTAACTTCCTTGCACAGCTTAGCCAGATACTCCATCTTCTTCGGCGTAATCTCTGTCAAGCTTATCATCTCCAGCAGCTCCACAAAGAAGTCAATGACCGTGATATGCATCAACACGTCTTCTTTATCTACCATATCCGTGGCCGCAAACCATAATAGCCCTGATTCTCCTTCCTGCAATCCGTACTGGTGCTCGATTTCGGGGAGATTGGTCCGGGAAACGGCAAGAAAATCCAATGCCGCCATTCGGGGAAGGACTCGTAACACCCGTGCCTGAGCCAAAGACTTCTGTCGCTCATCCAATTGTCCCTCGCCTTTGCCCACTGTCTTAGAGCTGCAAAGATCCAGCAGTAACCCGTAGATCTCGCTGTCTTGGAATATCCGTCTCCAAAGCAGCCCTTGACCTGGTGGTGTCCGCGAAGTTATTTGTAGGCCATGCATCCTGGCATCAATCTCGGCCGAAGATCTGTGATCGCAGTCTATACTTAACAGATCCCCCAGTACCCTTGTGGCCATCTCTCCAACCTCAACGTGTGGTGTGCTGAGCCATGTCCGTAGCAGATTCTCCACCACCCCTCTCATGATAGAAAGTATTGCCGTATCGCTCGGGCTCCGAGTAGCTTTCTCTATGACTGCGATTGCGAGTATGTTCACAGATGGGGCTGGAGATCGCAGGGCTTGGATAAGGGTATCTTCAGATGCAAGTGTAAGGGCCTGTGTGAATTGGACCGGTTTCAGCAGCTTGAGCGAGAGGCTGACTATGGGTTCGGGATCTCTTTGGTAGCTCTTGAGGATTTGGGTGAGGGTGGGGAGAAATCGCAGGGTGAGTGGAGGGGTATTGGTATCTGGCAGAAAAAGTGTCAGTCATGCCCTCGATGTATTTGGACTGCGTTGTCAATGCCGACAGAATCAGGCACACGACATCGACGGCCTGAAGCTTCCCATCCCAAGATAAACAAAGACGTAAATACTCAGCCAAACATCAAACAACACCTCAAAGGCACCTTTGTCCACCTCTGACCACAACAGCCTCGCAAGCTGACCTACAACGTACCTGTGAGTTGCAATCCCACCTCATCGAATAGTGTTGCATTCAGCGGTATATCTGGAGACTTCAAGAGGGCTTGGATGTGGCTTTCAAGCTCCTCCAAGCCGGTGATAGGTGTTTCGCCCGCATCCATCTTGCAGTCCGACACGTCCACAACCTTGTCTTGATACTTCAGCCTGATCTGGACATCTCACTGACCCTTTGACAGACAAAATGTCGAGCGAAGACCGTGCTTCTGGTTACCGGGAGTCTGATGAGCGCAGGGAGGGCACAGCGTGGAAGTTTGTCAACGGACAACACGGTCTTGGTCGTATCTATGATCCAGAGAATGAGTGGCGTCCGGATTCAACAGGTGGGTGCTCCAAATACTCCTACTGCGCTACGGCGTTGCGAAGCGAAAGGCGCCAGGCCCTTTGGGGATGCGGGGAGGGCGGTGGTAACTTTTCTGCCGCTCTTTTTTTAAAAGCTACCCCACGTCGCGTCTCCCCACCACATTTCTGACATCAAACAACCACAGACAACGAGAACCACCCCAAGCCTGACACCAATCCTGGTACAATGTCTTTCCGTGGTGGACGCGGTGGTGCGCGGGGTGGGATGCTTAAGGGTGCCACCTGGGAGCATGATCCAACCATCAAATTGGAATCTGCACCAAGTGAACTGTTTCCTGTCCGTACCTCTCCGCCTCCCCTTCTTTCCCATCTTTCCAACCCTTGATCCCCTTGCTGGCGAAACTGACCTTGGCAGAAACACCCAAATCTCAAGCCCCAAGCCCCATTGACCGACAAGGAGAAACGCCAGGTCGAAAACTTCAAGGCCGTTCAAGATGCGATCCACCGCGGACCTCTCTACACTCATCCAACGAAGCGCGATGCTGATGCGCCAGCCAAGACCTTTAGCGAAGATGATTTCAACAAGCAATACGGTGGCCGTGGCAAGGCTGACGTCGATCCATTCACTGCCGTCGAGACCTATTCTCAGAAGTACGACCCGCCCAAGCGCACCATTCCCGATCTCAAGGCTGTCAGACTCGACAAGAAGATGTTTCCGAAGGAATTGTGGAGCACACTTGAGGGAGACGCGGGAGAAGAAGTTAAGCAGCATATTGGTCGAGCCATGAAGAAGAAGGCGGAGATGATGGGTGATGCGCAATCCAAGACATCGGAGGACCGGGCTAAGATCATCTTGGAGAAGATCAAGAAGGCCACTGGCGAAGAAGATGCCGAGGGTGACGCGGAGGAGGGCGACGAGGAGGGTGGTGCTGAGGAGGAAGAGGACTACGATTACGAGGAAGACGAGGGAGAGATGGGAGGTGACTACGATGCCGAGAAGTACTTCGATGGCGGAGAGGAGGACGAAGAGGAAGGCGATGCGGGCGGAGATGACTACTAGCTTTGGATGTACAGCAGGCACATTGCGGCGCATATGGGAGAGGTATCTGGACGTTTGGGATGGCGTTGGCGGTTGATCATGATGGTGGCCAGGATGGCTGGTCTTTGCTCACTTAGTTGCTCACTCAATGACAAACAGGGGCGCGCGCGTTGCCGTTCCCATACCTACTTGTGTCGATATGCTCCGATGCTCTACGCGATTTCTCTTCTATCTGAGGGCAACTGTCTGGACTTGTATTTGTTACTTGTATGGTTGACTGACTCCTGAGCCGAGTGCAAGGAGCTCCGCGATTGAGCGCTTATCTTTCCTATTCGGTGAGGCGATGGCATGGACCAGAATTAAGGTTAATCGACGTGAGCCTGGGGATGATCGCGCTGATCTCGCCGGTTGATCTCGTCTGCTCACGGTCCATGCAACGTCGAACGGTCTTGCTCCTCTTCCTCCTCCTCTTGCGCTTCTTCCTCTGCCTCCTCTCCTATCCTCCCCCTTCCCAAGACTTTTATGTATTACTTGCTCTTGGTGCACCCTTTTCCTGCCCAGCGCGGTCTCGGTGTGATTATTCTCCGGGCTGGGTGGTACGGCTCATTGGATCCGGGGGCAAGACATCGGAAAAACCTCATCGGGTGACTCTCCGTCCTCGCAGAACACGACCTCAGGATCTCAGGTCTAGATTGGCGATTAGTCCAGATCGGGGCAGGCGTATCGGCTATTGGTTGGTTCGGAAGCCCTCAGCGAGCGAGAACCGCCGTCTCGGGCCTAGTTCGGCAGCCGGCAAGCGCCCATACCATTTTTACGTCAATTTAGCCTTCTCCTCTTTCATCCCATTCTTCCTCTCGCATCTCTCCCTCCCTCCCCTTCCCCCCCCTATCTGTCCCTTTCACTGTCCCCCTACTCTCCCTCCCTCTACGTGCCTTAATCTTCTCATGCGCGTGTGTCCAATCCTCCTCCTCCCCTCCAATCTCCATCCCCAGTTTCTCAACCCGTTGTGTGATATATATATATACCAGTGTATTTGGCCGCCCCCTCTCAAGCCCTGGCGTTGGTGTTAGGCTGTGCCGTCTCCTCCCTGTCCCTGCGCAGTCTAAGACTCCGCAGCCGAGCGAGCCTCATAGGGAGAGAGAAGAGTCAGAGGACCCAGTGGTCTGTCTTCTAGCAAGTCGGAGCAGGCCGACGGGCGAGGTGTGGATCATAACTACTGCTGCGCGGATGGTTTCTTGCCCGATCTTACGCCAAGATTTCTTCATGGAACCATGGGTCTCATGGCTATTCAACTAAGGACCTTCAAGTCCCGTCCTTGACCACCCTTCTTGCGCCCGTAATAATAAGACGGAGCAATGCACTTGGATTCCAGAGCGCCATGGCCCAAGAGCTTATCTCCGCGTGCATCGCTCCGTAATGCTTATGGATGGAGTGGTCCAATAGCATTCTTTGCGTCCCTGACGATTCCCGTGCCTGGCCTGTCAAAAGCCCCAAGCTACTCAGCCGCCCCCCGGGGTTCCAACTTCCAAGTAAGCATACTCTGCAAGGTACGGAGGATAATGCGCAGAGCGTACCAACAAATTGCCCCTCTCTCTACTATTCCTATTGGTCTGCCCCGACAAGAACTCTGAGCCAGTACAGGTGTCAAGAACGGGCTTCAGGACGAGGCTCGCTCTTTCTTTCCCATTTCGCGTGATTGGACTCATGGGAGATGGAGCCGTTGATTACTGCTGGGGTCTGGCACAGCATCGTATCAAGGCTTCAGCGGCATATGGTAATGTGCTACTTCCTATCGAGAACCGTGGCGTCAAGCCCTCAAACTCGTCGAGTGACCGGTTTATCCTAGCTTAAGCCTCTGCTCCATAATAATAAGGCTTTTCATATCCTCCCTTTCCCTCCCTTTCCTTTTCTTCTCTTCCCTCCCCTCTCTTTCTCTGTGCGACATCACCCATCCTCTCGCCCTGTCCTCAGCGGCGACTCTACCGCCGTGCAAACATTTGTTTGCGTCCTCTCATTGAACATCGAGCGCCTTGTACGCTCCTTGCTGGCTTCGGCTTCACCACGATCTTTCCCCTTCTATTCTACTATCTTTTCAGCACATGATGTTTTCTTCCAGGTCTCTTGTTGCGGCTACCGCTGCGCTTTCTTTAATATCTTCCTCAGTCGCGGCTGTTCTTGAAGGCTCAATTACACCAGCTACCTATGTACCTGGCGGAAATACGAACCTGGCTATGTACTGGGTAGGTACAAGGTGGTTAGAAAGGGGAGGCTTGCGCTCCAGCTAATTTGTTTGGTTAGGGAGCTGGTGTTAACGAACAGGAACTGTCCACTTTCTGCTATGAGTCAACGGTCGATATCATTCCTATCGGATTCATGAATGCATTCCCTGCCCAGGGCAATGGCCTCCCTGGCTTTGTCGCTGGTGATTATGGATGCTGGGGACCGGAGGGTTACCCTTATTATCAAGGTCCGGGTTATGATGGGGATAACGACCCTGAGAATAATTTGCTTCCCTCCCGCTGCCCGAACATCCAGCAGGATATCCCTCTTTGCCAGCAACTAGGAAAGAAGATTCTGCTTTCATTGGGAGGTGGGAGTGGTAATTATCAACTTACCGGTGCTGCCGATGGGGTGGCTTTTGCGGAATTCCTCTGGGGCGCATACGGACCGTACAATCAAAGCTGGATCGATCTCAACCCGGCTACGAATATTCGACCGTTCGATAGAGGGCTTTACAACACATCCACTTCAACTGATTACCAAATTGACATTGATGGTTTCGATTTCGATATTGAGTTGGCACCAACGGGTAAGTTATTCAATCTGATACTAACTGTAGCCGACTGTGGTTAACCGTGGCTGCTTTAGATTCTGCCGCCGGCTACATTGCTTTGGTCAACAGGCTGCGTGAACTCATGGCAAGAGATAACCCATCCAAGACCTACATCATCTCTGGAGCTCCTCAGTGTTCTCTTCCGGAACCAAACATGGGAGACCTGATCACAGGTGCCAAATTTGACTTGCTCTGGATCCAATTCTACAACACTCCATCGTGTAGCGCTCGCGAGTATTTCACGCCAGTCCCAGGAGGGCATTTCAACTTCGACCAGTGGGTGACCTTCGTCAACTCCGGAAAGAGCGCAGGTGCAAAGCTTTACGCTGGGTTGTTGGCCGACCCAACGGATTCTTCCGCTTGGCCAGGGCACTTTCTTCAACCAAAGGAAGCGAAGGAACTCATTTCTGACCTCCAGGAAACCTATAGCGAAGTATTTGGGGGTGTCATGCTTTGGGAGGCCACTGGAGCACTGCGCAACGATGTTTCTTACCTGCCAGGAGTTCCAGCAGCGTGGGGAAATAATGTTACTTACTATGAGGCGGTCAAGTATTACTTGAAGAATGAAACTACACTTCCGACTTCGACCTCGAGTTCTGCAACTTCAACAACCACCTCATACTCCTCAACCTCCACCTCCAGCTCAGTTTCGACCACGAGCAGCTCTACACCTACCCCAACTCCAAGCTCGTCGTCTAGCTCCACGCCCACTCCAACCCCAACTCCAAGCTCTTCGTCTAGCTCTTCGTCCAGCTCAACTCCTACCCCAACTCCAAGCTCTTCTTCTAGCTCTTCGTCCAGCTCCACTCCTACTCCAACCCCAAGCTCCTCGTCCAGCTCTTCGTCCAGCTCTACGCCAACTCCAACCCCAACTCCAAGCTCTTCGTCCAGCTCTTCGTCTAGCTCTACACCTACCCCGACGCCAAGCTCTTCGTCCAGCTCTTCGTCCAGCTCCACTCCCACTCCAACTCCAAGCTCGTCGTCTAGCTCGTCGTCCAGCTCAACTCCTACCCCAACTCCAAGCTCTTCGTCCAGCTCCACGCCCACCCCAACTCCAAGCTCGTCGTCTAGCTCTTCGTCTAGCTCCACGCCTACGCCAACACCCAGCTCTTCGTCCAGCTCCACACCAAGCTCCACGCCAACCCCAACCCCAAGTCCAATCTCTTCGTCAAGCTCTTCGTCTAGCTCGTCGTCCAGCTCTCTGTCCAGCTCAACGCCAAGCTCAACTCCTACCCCGAGCTCCACGCCTACCCCGACTCCAAGCTCCACGCCCAGCTCCACACCCACACCAACTCCAAGCTCTTCGTCTAGCTTGTCCTCCAGCTCTCTGTCCAGCTCTTCGTTCAGCTCAACTCCTACACCGAGCTCTACCCCTACCCCAACACCCAGCTCCTCGTCCAGCTTTTCGTCCAGCTCAACGCCTAGCTCAACGCCTACCCCGACACCCAGCTCTACGTCCAGCCTAGTTTCTAGCCTGTCTTCGAGCACAGTGGGTCCCGTTTCAAATTCAAGTTCTATAATCCCTTCCACCTCGACTTCTGTTTCGACAACAAGCCCCACTCCGATCACGAGCTCCTCTTCGACGACCTTTTCAGCTGTGACAAATTCAACTTCTACTTGGAGCCAGTCTGTCACTTCATCTAGCTTAAGCACAGCTGCCTCCACTTCAGTGGCTAGCTACGCATCGAGCAGCTCCAGTTCGTGGAGCACGAGTTCTTCTCTCCCTCAAACTAGCTCTGTTACATCTGGCACGAACTCTTCAGTCCCCACGAGCACACTATCTCCAAGCTCAAGCTTCAGCTCGTCAAAGTCGTTGACTAGCGGGTTCCCAAGTATCTCCGTGCTGCCTTATGGCAATGCTACCATTTCCAGCACCAAGGCTCCCCTTACCACGTCCACAGTTTTTGCCACCTCTGTATACACCATCACGTCTTGCGCACCAACCGTCACCGATTGTCCGGCTAAGATTGGCAGCGTAACGACAGAGACGATTGCCTTATATACAACAGTCTGCCCCGTGACTGCGACTGAGACCTCGACCTCTGCCAAGATTTTAACCACTCCTTCTGTTTCTGCATCGGAGACCCATTACACAACGTCCACTGTATACGCCACATCTGTTTACACAGTGACTTCGTGTGCTCCAACTGTGACGGACTGCCCGGCCAGACTCGGCAGCGTCACCACGGAAGTTATCAGTCTGTACACCACTGTCTGTCCTGTCACAGAGGCCAAGGGATCCCCAACTTCTGGCCCTGCACCAACTAGCTTCCCTAATGGTGGAATAAGCTCTGCTCCTGCACCAACAAGTCTCCCCGGTGGTGAGATTAGCTCTGCTCCTGCACCCACAAGTCTCCCTGGTGGTGAGATCAGCTCTGCTCCTGCACCCACAAGTCTCCCTGGTGGCGTGATCAGCTCTGCTCCAAGCATAAGCCATGTGACAAAGAGCAGTACGCTTACTACGTATGTTACGGTGAAGATGGTGAAGAGCACAGTAACTGTGATCCCAACACCGCTGTATCCTACCGGACCGGCGGTTGGAGGTGGGAAGGCCATCGGTACGGCGGTTGGAAGTGGGAAGGCTATCGTTACGGCAGTGGGTACCGGAGTACCGCATGTGACGCCGACGATCTCGGTGGCAGGAGAAACAAGTGAGACGAGTGCAACAAGTCCTGTAGAGGCAGAGACGACGGTCACTAGCAGTCCCATTCCATTCACTGGAGCAGGGGACAGGATAGCAGGGTCCAAGGGCCTGGCTTTGATTGCCCTCATTAGTGCTATGGTTCTGTTTCTCTGATATTAGCACTATCTGAAACTAATTATTGGTCTTTCACTCCCCACCCTTGCCGTCGTAGCCCAGCTTCTGCAGCGGAGAGGAAGTAGTGATTAGCCGTTTGTTTCAAGTAGTAGCTAAGTTATGACCCTTTTACCTACGGGATAGGTCTTAAAATATTGATTTGATTTAATTTATCTTTGTCCCTCCACTTGCCTTTTCCGTGATCCTCTATTACTCTGTACTTCCTGAACAAACCGTGAATTCTAACGCAGCGTTATTGAACCGTCTGTCTGCCTTCTAATACATTAAAGACTAGTCGACTGCTGTTGACACTGCATAGTACAAGCTTGATCTCACATTATATATCCTCTGCATCTCCTCTCCCAATAATGCTGACCTACCTAACTTACACACTTACCCGTCCATACCTACCTACCTACCTTACCTAGATATCGACAAGCCCAGTGATAACCTGGTAGCCAATTAACCCCTTACAACTACCTAACTACTCAGAACATCCTACCTACCTACCCGCTGTACCAGATGGTTGTGGAACGGACAACGATTGACAACAAAGTTGATACAGAGGTGGGCTAGCTATAGATGGGACCGGAATAGTTTGACCTGGGGCCGAGGCGGGTAAGATGGGGCATAAGTGGGTAGGCAGGATGATGAAAGCTGGAGAGGGTGGGTAAGTAAAGATGGAGGTGGAAAAGTGGGGTAGGGGTGGTAGGGGTGGTGGGAAGGTGACAAGGTGATAAGAACTTCATTTATACATGATTGTAGGGGTTATTGTTGTTGTGGTTCACAAAGAGAAGAGAGATATAGTTCGAGTCAAGACGAATTGGAATGAATGGATATATAATATCCTCAAATTCTTGATTTCATTTCCAAAAGAAACTCATAGATTAAGTACTCATTTCGTAATCTTACATCATATCTCAAACTAAACTGGGAGCGGCGGCAACACCATGCCCTCTGGTATTTGCTTCCATTGCTTGGTCACGGGATCAATCAGCTTCTTCGCATCCTCCCAGTCCTTGGTCACCACGGCAGCTCTCTCCTTTGATCGCGGGATAATCCTCGCTGGGAATTCTTCCGGCATGCACACGAATCCTTGGGTCAACTTCTCAGGGTCCGGGTAGATGGGCTTGCCTTGCGCATCCAGAGCTGGCTTGATATCAAACGCCCACAGCATTCTCGAGATTCCTAAAAACAGACTGCGCTCCGCAACGTGGATGCCAGGACAGATACGTCGTCCAGCGCCGAATGTAAACTGGTCTCGTGCCGCAGGGTCCGGGTTGGCAGCGGACTCGCCCAGACTCTGGAAGTCATCCTTGTATCGGTCGGGGTTGAATTCTCGTGGGTTAGGGAACCGTTGAGGGTCCATGTTGATCGTGTAGACGTTGTTCAACACACCGGCTCCCTTAGGGATCAGATAGCCCATGTATGTATCATCAGCCGATGCCGCGTGCGGCACAGCTCCGAGAATAGTAGTAGGCATCCATCGTAGTGATTCCTTCATGCAACCCCGGATGTACTGTAAGTTCATTTCATCGTCCATGGTCGGCAGACGGTCAGGTCCGACAACGCGGTCAATCTCGGCTTGGGCTCTCTTCTGAACCTCGGGGAACAGCACCATGGCCTGAACAAATCCGTACAAGGTACTGCTAGTAGTGTCACTTCCAGCCTCGAGAAGAGTGCCGGAGATATAGCTGGCCTGGTCGTCACTAAATCCTTCCTTTTCTTGAGATCGAAGCAGGTCCGCGCAGAAGCATGGGGTACCCTTGCCCTCGGTCATAGCCTTCTTAGCATTCATCCAGTGTTTGAGGTACAACTTCTTCTCTTTCTGATGTAATGCGCGTGCTTTGGCCTGGGCAGGAAGGATGAATTCGGGGAGGCGCCGGAGGATAGGGAAGTAATCGATCAGCGCTGCGGTTCCAGTTTGGTTGAGCACGGCAAATTCGTTAAAGCCGTTAAAGAGTTGTTTGAAGTTGGGGTCCTCTTCTGAGTGAGTCCTCCAGCTGTGACAATGGTCAATAGAGAACGGAGAGAGAGGCGTGTGGGAACACTCACCCGAAAGTCATCATGGTGGTAAGAGAGTTGGAGTAGCGACGGATGTGGTAGAGGAAGTCATCAGGAGCGGTGAGGATGTCATACAACATCTGCTTGTTCTCAAGCATCTGGTATGGAACATATGTCTTCGCGGCCGAGATGTTGAGGATGCCGTGAATGAGCTTTCGGAATCTTCGCCAGTCAGGACCATAGCGCTGGAGAGGATTAGCAAGTGAAGTGTTTGTGCTCATCGTAGTGGAGACTTACCATCATCAACAATCTGAGGCCACCGCTGCATAGAGTCTGTCCGATATACATGTCCTGGCGGTCACTGTAGGTGGAACTCTTCTTGTCCAGAAGGTCCTTGACGGCAACATCACTTGAAAGGACGATCAACACCTTGGTTCCGAGCATCAAGCTGTAGACGGGGCCGTATTCCCTGGCCCATTTCTGGAATTGGAGATGCGCATCGCGAGTTGGCATCTGTTTAAAAGAGAAGACGACTTGTATTAGCCCACATGAAGGATCGCTCTGCGCTGGGTAGAGCTGCTTACCAGATGGATGTTACCGAGAAGCGGCACGGTGGGAGGTCCTGGAGGATATCCCGCTGGACGTCTACCAATGCGCAAGATGCGCACCAACAAGACGACGAAGGCGACAACCGCCGTCACAATGGATATTTGAGAATATGCCATGATTGGACACAGCGACGGGGAAAAGGAAGGGGAGAAAAGGAGAAGGAGAAAAGAGGTCGGAGGTCGCGGCTTGGGAGGAGGGGGGAGGGCCTCCAGTTTCTGATGGACTCGCCCAACTTATACTTTGGGAGGAGAAGGACACGGAAACGGGTTCACCCCGATCTCCTTTACCCTCGGGATTGAGATTCTCTCTGGAGTCCATTTTGGTATGGGGTTTGTTCCGGCGCTATCCCCATATTGTGCGGGAGAGGGCAAATACAACGGTGCTCATTGGGTCGAGGGGGGATCAGCGCGCGGACAAGACCCATGAGGGGGTGATAGAGCAGTGGAGAGCAGTGATGGGCAGTGGAGAGCAGCGGAGGGGGTGGAGGGGAGCGGTGCTAGAGCTGCGACTGGAGGAGAACAGTGGAGGAGAGTGGAGGATGGCGGAGAGAGTGGACCATGGCGGGACCTGGGCGGGCGATAGCTCAACGACAGCTCGTTACCAGTTACCAGTTACCAGACAGACAGCAGCGTTGTCGTTCAAGGGGACCCCAGTTGCTACTACGGCGTAAGTAGTCCCAAGTCTCTCGCTCAACCAGCACTGACCTTCGCTATAGGTGCTATAGCCACTATAGCCACCACCGGATCCCTCTTGGTTCCCCCTTGGCTGGGCTACTCGAGACAACTCATGGCAACTCCTGGCAACTCTAGAGGCTATTCCCAGCTCTTTGCGCTATTCTTTACCACCAGACGCCATCCCCGGTGTTGCGGGGTCCTTCCCCACCCCCACCCACCATTCTCCTTGTCTGAGGCTCCCGACACCACTTACCGACCGTCAGTCAGCTGCCGTAGCAACTTCCGGGATCAGCGGCTAGCCAAATCTTTCCAATTGTCCCCAAGTCTCGTGGCGATGTCTTCCATGCGTCGCTTGCCGCGCCAGTCTCCCGACCATAAATCCCCCTTGCCGTGTCACTTTCCCGACCACGATCTCCAATCTGGTCCCCAAGCAAGACTCGTGTCTTTCTATTTGAGTAATCCTCTTTGCGCCCGCCCCTCCGCCTCTCCGCCTCTCCTCTCCGCCTCTCCACCTTTCCCCAATCTCGATCTCCCCAAACCCCAAACCCTACGTTTTTCTCCGAAACCTTGTGCCCCTCACTGGCCCATACACCATACTGATATCATATCATCACCATGCTGACTGACGCACTGGTTGTCACCGAGGCCGGTGCTCCCTTTGATCTCCAGAGCATCAATGTCGACGACAATATTCGCGACCATGAGGCGCTGATTGAGATGAAGGCGACCGGAGTTTGCCACACGGACCTCAACTTTCGCCGTGAGCAATCAATGCCTGGCTTGTTCCCGGCTGTGTTCGGCCATGAAGGTGAGGACGAGCGTTCTATTGTTACATCCTTCGGTCCGCTCCTCGTCTATCTCTTCTGCAGCAGTATTCCCCGCATCTGGGGAACAAGTTACAACGTGCTTCAAGTGGGCAGTACATGATCTGGAGTATTGAGAGGTACCGGTCACGCCATTGGTTAACCAGACCTGCAGGAGCCGGTGTAGTGGTCAAAGCTGGTTCAAAGGTCCAAGCCTCGCCCGGCGATCATGTCTTGCTCACCTACACGTGCTGCGGTGACTGCAAGTACTGCAAGAGGGGAGAGACATCCTTCTGCTACGATTGGGAACACGATAATTTTGGCATTGGAAGGCCCGATGGATCGAAATCGTACTCCACGACGGCCGGAAAGGAGGTCACTTCGCATTTCTTTGGGCAGAGCAGCATGGCCAAGTATGTTGTCGTGAGCGGCCGCAGTATGATCAAAATTGACCAGAGCCTTCCGCTCAATCTGCTTGCGCCTCTTGGTTGTGGGTTTATGACAGGCGCTGGAGGCAAGTCCATCCCCAATTTAAACATACCCCCCGATCCTGAGACTGCTAAACTGACACGCATGCAGCGATGCTAAATGTCGTTAAGCCAACTCCAGATACCTCCGTCCTCGTGGTGGGTGCGGGAGCAGTTGGTTTGGCTGCCATCATGGCTCTTGGCTTGCTCGACAAACCCCCGAAGCAGGTTGTTGCCGTCGATGTCGTCCCGGAGCGCCTTGAACTTGCCAAGAAGTATGGAGCGACCCATATCATCAATTCAAAAGAGAGCCCTGATCTCAAGAAAGCCATTTATGCAATCACAGATGGAAAGGGCGTTGATGGTGCTATTGACACCACCGGGCGACCTCAGATCGTCAACACGCTCCTGGATGCCTCTGGGAAGAAGGGACTTGTGGTTAGTGTTGGCGTCGGTCAGGTATGCATCCCCACCACTCACTTATTTTCGATACCTAACACAGCATATCATTAGCTCACAGCAAATATCGAGTCCAATATCTTCAACACTGTCAACTCTGGTCGGTCGTATGTCGGATGTTGCATGGGAAATTGCTTCCCCCAGGAATTCATCCCTCGACTTCTGACTGGATGGCGTGAGGGCAAGTTCCCGTTCACGGATCTGATCAAGCAATATCCCGCGAAGGATGCAGAGACTGCTGCTACAGAGGTGCTGAAGGGGGACGTAGTCAAGGCTGTAGTAGTATGGGATTAAAAGCAGATATTCTCTGATAGGATAAAATAGTAAAAGCGATTTACGAAGAAGCATTATGAAAGTCACAAAAGATACTAACATCGTTACACCGGTAAGACTGAGTCTAGTTCTAGAGTCTAGTTCTAGAGTATATGATCTGAACGGTGAAGGCTAAATCAAAGAGAAGATCACTATATGCATAGATTAAGTAAACCAACCTCGAATAGATGCCTGGTTTCTAAGTTTCCTTTCAATAACGAACGTTTCATGAAACCCTTTCCTTTTTTAATGTCAGTAATCTGGAGCTTGCAGCTTGCTCTTCAGCACCACGAGGAATAATAGGATGCGCCCAAGGAAGCCCGGCTCGAAGCAACGCTACATGGATGATGGCCCACCAATGATTATCAACGGTTCTGCATAACTTCCACTTCACGTATCCCCCTGTCATGCCGAATCGTACCCCCGGGAGCCTAAATCTCCAACGTCTCCACTGGAATCCCAGACCCCGGAATCTGGCTAAATAAATAGCCCTGGCTTCCCCGCTCTCCGGGTACAGCACATCGGATACTCCGTGCACTGCAAAAGGACTCTTGTCCCCACGGTTCTTGACGCTTCGGAAACCCAATATCTCCCGCCCTGCATAGTACTATCCTGCACCTTGTAGGCAAAACCATCTTCCACTTCCTCGGCTTACGCATAACGGTCTGATCATGATTTTACTTACTCCTGCCACATTCTCTGCATGTTATTCTAGTATTCTAACAGCTTGCTTCTTGATCCCTCCGTGTGAATGATGGTAAGTTATTATTATAATACTGAACATAGAATTATAACTCCACTTTTTATATTCAGCATTTGAAATAGTATTCTGCCCTCCTTTTACCTTAAATGCAACAGTACCTCAGCTTGCTCAAACACGTGATACGATATCACGGCATAGATTCAACTCATGCTTGTTAATATTGTAAACGTTTACTGCGTAGTATAACTTAAGCAAAATATAAATATTCTAGAGTTATATATGGCCATGTAGGATTATTCTCCTGTCTGTGACCAAGCTGTCTGGTTCCCCAATAGTAGGTAGTCGTTTTGCTCTTTGTCTTTACGTGACTATAAGTGTAAACTCAATCAAAAAACTTGAAGCCAACGTTCTGGAAAGTAGAAATTTTGAAACATGAATAATATGCAGTAGGAAAATCTTTATTATAATAACTCAAGAAAACGTAAAACGTATGATACGAGTCATAAGTACATCCAAATTGGATTTATAGGCTACATGTCTTTCATGTTAGTTAGATAGCACAGAACCTCGCATTGATTTCCTTTACGTGGTAGACACGACACTTCTAGTGATTGTTAAGAGAACTACTATTATCAAGGCTATTGTAGTGGTGAGGATTATGTTACCGTTCTAGAGCAGAGGAAGGGAAAGGGTGTAAGGAGAGAGACAGAGAGTGAGTTTTGTTTTTTTTTTTGGGGAGAGGGGGGGGCGGTGGTCGTCCAAGGTTCTGTGGCCGCATTGTGGAACAATTTCTTTGTCAGGATTTAAAAGGTCTAAAAGGAGGGGGCTTACATTTACTCACCGCATAATAGAGTTTCACGGCCTTTTCTAGTCGAGATATAATTGCTGCTCATTACATCTCCGAGAACCAGCGACAGTTAGAGGAACTCGTGCTCAAGGAGCGCACACGCAAGGTACCAGAGATGGAGGTCAATCCCGACGTGGGCGAGGGAAATGCTCATATATCTTGCTGATGAAATAATTTCTCCTAAAGCTTCTCCTATATATATATTCTCAAACCCGGAAAATCCAGTCTTCGGTCACAACATTCCGGGTATTGAACGTTATATACAGACTTCTGCTGTCGTGCGACTGGCATACTGTCCGTCTCTCCAGAACGATCCTACGCCCCTACACACATTGTACAAAGATCATTCGCTAGATTGGTCCATTGTCGGATTGTAGCATAACGAACGTCCTGTCATTGCCAGAGCTCGGCGTGTTTGGCTCGATGTTCGAATTGGTGCAGAATCGAAGTATCTCGGCAGATAGTCGTTGAACACAGTGCGTATGATATGCATCAACTGATGTTGAACTAGTAAGCTGTCACGTAGAGTGGATAGATGGAGAGGGCAATTGTCGCAAACCTTGAGGTAATGGGCAGAAGACTAAGCTCTGCATTGTTGTCAGCCGGCGCAATCAAAGCGTACAATTATGCTGAACAAGGTAGCACTAATTTCGGACGCTCTGTGCGAGGGTCCCTAGAGACGTGCAACATATCTCCCCCTCTGCGGAGAGCATCAGTCTTGAAGGGATGCGGTTATATGTCGAGGATTCATAGTGCTAGTGTCTGAGATCCTGCGCCTCGAAACTGAGCAGCGTTGCAGTCTATCCAGGGTAATATCTGGCCATTTCTGATCGAATTTAAATCCTTATATCAGGGACCCTACATCGTCTTCGTATGCGCTTTTTATAACGAATTGATCGATGTTTAGGGAGGGTTCGGGTGTAGGATGGATCGAGAGCGGATGGATCGAGGTCTGCACATCTGCGAGCTGCGTATCGTCGAGGAGTGGAATCAAGACGCTGTAGAGTAGTCTGAGGATCAACGACTAATTGTCAGTATAGTGCGGATTTAACCAACGCCAAAGCTTGCGCGGGCTGTTGCAGACATGAACACGTTTTACATTGTGCTTTTGGTGATGTTGCATAGTACATTTAGTAAAGGACGGTGTATGCGTATTAGCTGGAGTCCAGGGTCCACGCTGTTCCTGGGGGGGATGGGTGTGCGTATCCGAACTCGTCCTCTACATCAATAACCTTACACTTGCGTATGATAGTCTCAATATAGGCAGATGGGCATCATCCTTGATTTGTTGAAGACATTTCTGTGTTGACCAGAGCCAGTTCATCTTGTGATAACCGATCTGCTGTACGTCTGTCCCTCGGTTTCAACATGATTCTGCAATTAAAACATGCGAACCCTAAACAAAGAATACTGTACTTACTGTACACAGTCGAGAATCAATGATACGGCCAGTAGCAGCGAGCTGCGCAATAGCGGCTGCAGCCCCAAAAGGGAACGCCTTCAATCGTCAATCACAAACCTAGCATCTTCAGCAGCCGTCCCTCAAGGGTGCCACCGACCTCCTCCCCCACGGTCTTGAGAGTTTCCAGATCTCCCATCTCCTCTTCGTCTCCAGGCTGTAACGTCCCAAAAGTCTCCCCCATTTCCCCCATCTTCGTAATAAGAAACCTGAAATCCTGCAAATCCTTGTCCTCATCCCTATCCAGCCACGTTTTCGCCTTCATGATAGCTAACTCGCCCAATCCTGCCCTCATCTCACCGCCTGCGCCAATCTCCCTTGCTCCCTCTATGACTGGTATGAAATCGCCGCCTTGCAAGAGGAATTCAAAGGGTACACAGATTTCGTTGCTTGAGGTGTATTCCCAACTTTCCCCTCCCAGTTGATTGAATCTTTCATCATTAAGGGCGGCGGCGTGGAAAGCGTGGAGAGCGGGCCCGGTGACGGCGACATCGACATCCCCCGTCTTGCGGGTGCCGCCCAAAGAGAGGAGTGAGGCGCCGCCAACGAGAACGAAGCTTCTGCGGAGATCTTGGGGAACGAGGGCCGCTGCGGCGGAGAAAGCTTCAAGCAAGGCGGCCCTTTGGCCAGCTCCGATGGTAGCTCCTCCGATGGATGTCATTTCGATATTGGTCAGGAGTTTAAAGGAGCTGTAGCGTTATTGTTGCAGCTGTGACGGTAGTACTGGTATTGTTTTGACAAGAAGAGGACGGTAGAGAGGATGGTAGAGAGGATGGTAGAGAGGATATCCTGTTGCTTGTTGCTTTGCGAAGTCTTGACTCTTGGGACCGAAAGAAGGACATCTTACTGCATCTCGACTAGGAAGGTGCGCTTCCATGGTCGAGGATAATAACTGACCTGTTAACAACTGATCTGGTGTTAATGACTGATCTGCTGTTAGTAACCCATCTGCTGTTACTAACTGATCTGCTGTGAATGACTGATATGTGTGAATAACTGACCTACTGTTGTCTCTTCTCCCCTGATTATGATCTGTGCAGGAAAATCATGTGGTAGAAGTGCAAGACGTAGTAGTAAACTCACGAGTCCACTTAGCTCGCAACGCACTCGCCAACCCGCTTGGATCGCATTGAGTTGCATTTCTCTCTCTTGGGCTCTTCCCCCAACCCATCCGCCTCAGGTGGATCTTCCCGAAGGTGTGCGGTTGAGCAACCGGATCCACATGTTACCTCTAAGTGGCTTCAGAATATCGACATTTCTGATCACAAGTTTACCTATCGTTACACCTCCCCACTTTGAAGAGAGGCCAACGTTAGCAACGGTTTTCTCTTGAATCTCTTGATTCTCTCTTCCATGTCTTCCCGATTGCGGTCCGCTAACTCTGGAAGCAACCTCTCCCGTTGCTGCGGCTTCTCGAGGTGAAGATACCGGACAAAATTTGATATATGATACCATGGCCGATTGCCATACTTATAAGGAAATTCCTCGGGATGCGTAACTCGATAGCGAGCCTGATCTAGTAGCGCATTGAGCATGCGCGGGATCGTTGGAATGTAAATGGGATACTTCATCTCCGGGCTTTGAGCGAGTATTGAAGGTATAACCCTGATACCATCGGCTATTCTCGCCGTGTACCCAATTGAAGGTGCTTGGGCCCATGACGGGTGTATATCGAAGCGCTCCTCCATGATAACTGTGTTCCAGGCCTGCGGGTCGGGGACTTCAATCTTGTCGCCATCAATGTCGAGCATGTAGACGCGCTCGCTCCAAAGGCTGATGCACTTGTATGGGGAATCGTCAGTTTTCAGCTTTAGTCGAGGAACTTGTTGCGCGTAGGTGTCGGATAATCGTAGGTCGAGGTTCTGCTCGACGAGATCGAACTGTCCCGTTGCGAGAAGGTCTGCTTGTATAACTTGCATTTCAGAGTCTCTGATCAGCAAGTCGAGATCCTGAAGTCGTTAGCACTAGGAAAGGGACGTAGCTGCGGATAGAGAAGTGATATTTACCTCGCGAGGAGACACTCGTAGACCCATCCAGCCCAGCGCCGCTTCCTCCACCAGCACGAAGGGATGTTGGCGCGCTTTGAAAATCGAGAACACAGTATCGAGATAGGCGTCCTTCCACGGTACTGGCTGCTTCTCTCCCACAGGCGCGGCCATCTTTACAACTTCGGGTTCTATGGTCGTGGTCAGAGGCGTTGTAGATGAAGGGATTGTGAAGTTGTAAAAGTGATCGCAGCCTTGCAGTTGCAGCCCTGCCGATCAAAGCCATACCCAATGGGGGTGTGGGGTTAGCTTCTCGCTTGATGTTAGCGCCACGCCCCAGGCATCCATATCTATGCCTCGCTCCTTAGGCATTGAACCTTGGACTCTCAACATTCACGGCTGTATGAATGAAAACGGCTGTATGAGAGCAACATGGCCGAATGCTACATGATGGAGGGGGTCCTGTACATTTTATTGGCTTTGGCTTTGGAGTTAGTTTCAATTGTTCCTTGATAATGGTGATAAATACTGACATAACATGCAGGACTGAGTGAGGGGACCCCACAGCCTCCACAGACCCCCACAGCTCCTCCGTTACTTATCCGCTCGCGGTGCGGGGTATGGAGTTGTTGGGAGCTGCCCATTCTCCTTGATTGTCTATAAAATGAGATGCTTCTATCAACAGTTCCCCAGGTAAAGCATTTGCCATTGAAAACGCGTCTGTTCGATTTATCTTAATCCCATCTGTCTCTTCACCAAAGCATCTGCCTCTCACATACCACAATGGGTTCTCAGGATGTTCATGCTTGGGCTGACTTGCCAGCGGCACTAGGAGTTGCGGTACCAAAGCTGAATGAGCTCTTGAAGACAGACGCGCAGTACCAGGCATTTGCCAGAACCGACGCCATAACTCAACCCGTTACCTTTGGAATCAAAGCTCATGGCTCGGACAATACGATCTTAGTCACGGTGGACAATGGGAAAGGCTTCGCTGCGACTGGCAGCTATACAAAAGCAGCTTTCACATTGTCGGCACTGCCTGAACAGTGGCAGGAATTCTTCAAACCCGTCCCTGTCGCTCCCTATCAGAGCTACTGGGGAATGTTTGGAATGAATATCAAGCAAAAAGGAATCGAAATCCTCGGCGACACGGTAGCATACAACGAGTTCACCCACTTCTGGCGACGCGTTCTAGAAGTGCTCCGCGAGGCTTATTGCGGTCCAACCCCAGTTGACGAGCAACCGGAGACCGACGAGGATTATATCGTTGGGCGTTACGTGTATGTTACCGCCCCAGTTTGGGGTCGATGCAAGGTCTTCTACGAGCAAAGTGGAGAAGGGGAGCAGGACATTGTCTTTCTCCATACTGCTGGCTCCGACAGCCGACAATACCACGGTGTCATGAATGATCCGCGGATGCGTGCAAAGTGTAATATGATTGCCTTTGATCTTCCCGGACACGGCCGAAGTTTCCCGTCTACATCATATGCAGCGGGAGCTCACACCAATACCGAAGAAAGCTACATTGGCTGTATTACTGCGGTGGTAAAGGCTTTGAAGCTAAACAAACCAATCATTTCTGGGGCTTCAATGGCTGGCCAGGTCTGCTTAGCCGTAGCCATTCACGCGGACACTGTCGGTGCTGGTGGCACCATCCCGCTACAAGGGTAATTTATACGTTCATGATGGCAAAATCAGCGTATAGAAAAATGCTGATTGCTAAATAGCTGCGACTTCCTAACAATGGATAGACAATGGCATGATCGGTCGCCGTTCGTGAACCAGTCTCTCTTCAATCCTGAGTGGATTTACGGAGTAAGTTTGACCTCACACCTCCTTTATGGCTCTTCAATTATGAGAGTCCGTCAAGCTAACGGCATTCCCCAGATGATGTCACCCACAGCACCACTGGTTAACCGCCAGTTGATATGGCACCTCTATAGCGCCCAAGCCTATGGCATCTTCCACGGCGATCTGGACTTTTACTTTGGAGGTTGGGACGGCCGCTCTCGCATGGCAAGCATCGACACCAAGAAGTGCCCAGTTTTTATGTTGACCGGGGAATACGACTGGAGCAACACACCGGCAATGGCCCAAGCAACCGCTGATAAGATTCCCGGTGCTAAACACAAGACAATGCCCCAGCTTGGGCATTTCCCAGCAACGGAGAACCCGGCGCGATTTGTACCGCATCTTTTGGAGGCCATTGAGTACATCCAGGCCACGAGGAAATGATCTGAGATTTCTTTGATTTGTGCTTGCCGCAGGGTTGTCGCGGAGTACAGCATTTCTTTTAGTACTAGTCTTCCTCCCGCGTCAATTTTCGGGATGAGCAGTATGCCAGTATCAGTGAGCTGGTTCATGACAGTTATGAATCAAGTAATTCCACCCTACGGGCATGCTTTGCAATAACTGCGCCGAGATGAAGACCAGTATGGAGCACCAATTAGAGTTTCCCTCCAGCAAACTCCCCAAGTAACTCCTAAATGCCATCCTGTATCTAGCGTCACCTCTCATGGTGGGGGAGGTCAGATCGATTCAGGCAAAAGAGGCACAATCCCACATGATTGTTTGTCTCCCACTTTAATAAGCTAAAGAACCAACCAGAGATCCATTGCAGGGGCAACGTGGAAGTGCATTGGTCCTAGCTTTATTCCGGTCTCAAATTGTCAACGTCGTGAAATAACATTGAGTACTAAGTTATACTCCCATGCCTTCCTGATGTGGGGCCATAGAATTATAGTATTCATCCAAATCCCCATTGACCCAGTTGTTGCCATTATATAGATCCGGTTGTAATTGAAAGTTTGAGAAATCTTCTGCTTCTTGTGTGCCGAAGATGTCGACTGTGAAGTCTAGGCCAGCGGCTGATGAATTAACTTGATCTGCAGACCTATTAATCCAACCCCTGTCATTGACATGAGGTGTCCCCTCCAAGGCAGGACGCTGAGAAGGATCTGTAGTTTTTTCTGGACCATATGGATGACCATTTTGAGGAGACGAGGGGCCATGAGCAGCAGCAGGCTCACACGGTACATCCTCTGTGTCGACCGACTGCAACTTTTTCGCGATGGACTTCTCCAGAAATTGGAAGAAGAGCTGAAGTACCCAATTTGTAATGTCCCATGTGCGCTGTAATTCTTTGAGTCCTAAAAGACATAATTGCGCTCTATTTTCAGCCAATTTTCGCGCTGTATTCTCCGATCGACGAATATGAATAGTGTGAATGCATAGAGCGTTGAATATACTCGTAATTCTATCCCCGTTGTTAGTAATTATATCTTCAGGAATTGAAAGCACTTACAAATGTACATTTCCATGCTGGATTAAGTCTTGGGATAGCATATCCTCAGTTATACGTGTAATTCTTGAAGCTGCTTGAAGCGCAAAACTACCGCCATCCTGGTCACCTTTCTCTTTTGAACCAAGGTATGCGGAACGATATAAAAGTATGTAAAGATTACTGATTATATTAATATTGAGTGAAGTAAAATGTTGAAGGTGATTTACCTGTATGATATATGCAGCATGCTAACCCAGAACGAATCTGCTGTACGGTTTGACCGCATTTCAGGGGAAAGATCATCTTCCCATTTCATCAGTTCCTCCTTGAGAGTAGCCCTGTCTATGGCAGAGTTTAATCCATTCTTCGGCGAGAATTCTCTCAAGACTATCTTGCCAACTGTGCTCAATGTTAATATGTTGACATTGACTGGACTACTTGATGATTGAACATACGCAATCTGGCAAGTCTCGTAATTTGTACAGCATATAACACATGCTCGAGCTTTTGTGATCCCCAGAAGGGATCGAGACCATCAGTGTCTTCATTATCGAAGTCCGAAACATCGAGTAGGTCAATATCGCAGTCTTCGTCACGAATTCGAATTGGAAGACCTAGGGCTGCAGAGCATTGGCGGTCTCGTACCTTCAGCTTGTCAGTTCAACACGCGAATGTATGTGAGGATTCCTACATAAAGAGACCACCAAATCTTCTTGCGGAGAGTTTCGTCAACTGAGTTGTTATTGGTTGTACTACGGGAACAGTCAGTAGAGGACTTGACCGAGATTATGCTCAACCTTACGATCTGTGCATGCCCTTTGTTTGAGCTAGGCTAATCGCGGCGCCAAGCCAGTGCCTCGTGTCCTTTTCTAATAGCGGTCCTGCTCGCCAAAAGCTCATGAGAAATAATGCCTGGCATACGGTCACTTTGTCCGTGTTGTAATCGGCGTCATAGAGGCTCTTTGCCCGATTATAAAAGTCACTCCTGGCGCTATGCCGATCTGGCACTCCTACATCGCGCAAAGTCTTCTCGCTACAGTGACTCGTTCCCACAAATAAAACGGCCTGGAGCAGAAGTGGCGATATCGTTTTTGACCGATACGCTCTGCTGAAGGCGACTCTATCGATGATGGGGTAGCAAGGATGAAACCAGGCAAAATAGGCAGAAAAGAGTACCTTGCAAATCTCATCTGACGGAAAGGTAAACGCGCTGTCCTCAATGAGTTGCTTTACTTTCGCTGCCTGCGGGCGCGACTCGTAGGCATTTGCTAAGCCCTTGCCGCTAAGAACAAGGGTCAAAGGGTACTGAAGTTTGCTTCTCTCTCCGGGAGATCGACCTTCGTCATTGAATGCGGTTCCAGTATCACGGACAGCTGAAATGGAGTTGGATTCTCCAAGAAAAACAGTGCTCTCTCCTTCACGGTCAACGCTCCCAGAGTGGACGGTCTCTGGCGTGGTAGCAGGAAACTCATTGGAGCTGCCGCTGGAATACAGATCGTCATGTGCGATGTTTGCTCGCTCTGTAGAGAAGGTGGTAGACGGGCGCTCCCAAGATGGTGCATCCAACGTAGCATGTTGAATATCTGTAGAGCCGGAGAAAGATGATGGCAGTGTTGTGGTGTCGTTACGGTTGGCCGTTGAAGCTTGGGCTAAGGCTCTTGAGCGGGCGGCGCCTCTCTCGTACCTGGATAGTCCGAAGTCAGCAATTCTGCTGCAACCTCCAGTCGCGGGTATGAAAGCGGGCTACAGAATATGTTGCAAAGTCCCACCTTCCACGTCTCGACTTGATCAATTCACAGACAGCGCCGCTGGCCTTACAGTTGGTGCACGGTTGGGATTCCATGGCGTCGCAGCGAACCCGGCGAGCATTGCAGACCCTGCACGCGGCCTTTGCGCGCAGGCGTGGACGAGTGGACATGATGTGTAGAGAGGGAGGTGGAGGAGGACGGGGGGTTGTTGGGGGGGGGAGGATGGGGAGGGATGGGGAGGGATGGGCAGCGCAACTGAGTGACTTTCAAGGAGGAAGAAGATGCGGGGTTGCCCCAGGTTTAAGGTTTAAGCTTCTCCGCATCGTGGAGGTATGGAACGCTACGGCGGCCCGCTACCGACACCAATGAAACACGTGCCGTGCCTACCTACCTACATGGCAGAACTCGGACCGCCGTAATTTCTCGGGGCTCTCGCGCATCTCACGTACTCGGTACAGTGTACACCATACATCTACATACATCCATCTATATACCTAGGTAGGTACATACCTATGCATACACATATACAAACCGGCCATTTTACTCCACCTTCCCTCGCATCTGCTCTTGAACTATAGGACTACTATCCATCACTCCCCCCGTCACGATCCGAAACGCCTAGCCTTCTCGAGAGTCCGCTCAGCCCGGGCGATGATGGGCGCATCTATCATCTGGCCTTCGAGTGACCAGGCCCCTTTGCCTTTGTTTTCTGCTTGGCTTGCGCCGGCCACAACCCTTGTCGCCCACTCAATTTCCCTTTGCGATGGCCCAAACGCTGCCTGGACAGGCTCTAGTTGGAGTGGGTGTATACACTGCTTTCCATTGAAGCCGAGGGATTGCCCAAACAGGCAATCTTCTTTTAGTCTCTGCTGGCCAGACTGCCCTTTGAATTCCGTGCTAACTAGGTCAATTACGCTTGGCACATTGAAAGCCCGGCATGCGGTCACGATCGTTGAACGCGCATGCAGCATTTCGAGACGAGACGGAGTATGAACAAGAGAAAGGTCCAGAGCGAAATCTTCTGCTGCAAAGGCAATACCGGACAGGAACGGTGTGGCGGTGCAGATGTCAGCGAGGGACAGGAGCCCACGGGCAGACTCGATGAGGCCAATTAGTTGCAGAGGTCTTGTGTTCCTGGAGCTGCTTTTGCTATTCAACACCGAGGCAGAGGCACCATGGTCAAGCATACACCGATGGGGAGCGTGATGCTTGATTGCGTCCGCGACAGATCGGAGATCCGCTGCTGATTGGACTTTGGGCACGACGATCGAGTCGAGATTCTCACATTTCAACTGGAATACATTGCGAATCAGCCTCTGACTACTTGTGCCGAAAGCTCCTATGCGACTCACAATCTTCCCCAAATCATCAAACGCCATTCCACTATCGATTGCATTGATCCGAACCGCCTGCTCATGAACCGTCTTTGGCCGAGGCAAATCAAGTAATTGTCGAAGCCTCGATCGTGCCTCCGCCTTCTCGCTTCTCGCGACAGAATCCTCGAGGTCATATATAATACAGTCGGCAACAAGCCCTCTCGACTTCTCAAGCATCCTTGGGGAAGAGCTCGGAACTGTTATGCTTAGCCATGATCGGATGCCACCGAGACGATAGGCCTTGGATACCGTACAAAAGGGCACGTCTTGGGAAAAATGCCATGGCTATGGTTTCGCTCACTGTACGAATGATGTTCCTTCTCGATCAATCAACGACCTCCGAAAGCTGGCCGTGTACAATATATGGCAGCCGGGCGGACGAAGGGGGATGGGTTGGATCGCAGCTTCAAACCCAGGTCATCATTCAAATTGCAACGCTACATACTGCGGAAAACAAGTTGCCGACCCTGAACGTTTGGAGTGGGCAATGAGACATGATGGCGGCTGCATCCTGAACGGCCTCCTGAGCCGAGCGAGAAGAATACAGGATACGACGGTGTATAACTCCCGAGAACAAGTTCCGAGATCAAGTCCCGCGTGCATGGTTATTTGGCTGTGCGGGAGCCATGGCGGCGGAGAGAAGCATCCGGAGTAATCCCCACGGCCATCATATAGCCGATTCTGCGGAGTAAACCGTCATACAGCCGAACCCCAAAATCAAGCACCACATCTTATAACCGGAAACCGAGACACTCGGCGACTTACTCGAGTCCTTACTCGCACTGCGGCACATGATCCATCCGTTTACGTTAGATGGTCGCCCGACAACCTGGAAAGCTCATCTTGATTGTCCACTGTCGCACCGATGCCGCTCACGTGACTCGAACTACCCCTTCAGCGGCGTTCTAGCAGTTTCAGAAGACATATTCCAGACACGCACAGACTACGGAAGATGAATGATATGCTGGGCTTGAAGTACTGTAGGAGATTGCGGACGCTGTCTGCTGTATATACAAGATGTAAAGTGACGAAGACAACCCCTTCATCTCTGCCAACTACGCAAGCCGCGCAAGTTCCACCGCCTTTCGAGCTGCTTCGCCGAACCCACTCTCTGTATGCAGGCCTAGACCCGATTCCGCAATCTATGACCTTGAGGTAAGCATAGGTCAAAAACACCTGGACCGTCTCTACGTACCAGTTTCAACCCTGCCTCAGAGTTCGTCCCTTGGAGTCGCACAACCAGAGGAACACGTAACGGACCGATCTGAGCGGCGGCAGCAATGATGGATTCAGCGATCATATCACATCGAATGATGCCTGGAGTCGGGTTCAGCATCACAATCGAGACTGTTGGAATCTAGAACTGGGCTAGCAAGCCACATACCTCCATAGATGTTCACGAGTATCACATTGACTCTGGGGTCTTTCAAGATGATCTCGAACGCTCGTTGCATCGTCTCCTTAGTTGCTTGCCCACCAGCATCCAGGAAATTTGCGCTCCTTCCACCGTACAGTGATATGGCGTCGTTAGTCGCCATTGCTAATCCTGCACCATTTACCACGTTCCCAATGTTTCCATCGAGACGTACATACACCAAGCCGAATTTCTCTGCAGCAACCTCATCATCTACCTCCTGAGTCACATCACGAAGGGCGAACAATTCTGGCTGTCGTTTTCCCGCGGCGTCATCAAACCTAAATTTTGCATCTAAGCAGACGAATTCGCCTGCCGCGGTACGGGCCAGTGGGTTGATCTCCAGTAGGGTTGCGTCCTTCTTCACAAACAGTTCAAACAGGTTCTTCAGTATTCTCTCCATGTTATTCTTCTCGACAGAGGTGAAATCCAGATCCCTTGAGATCTCTGATACGAGTTCTGGGGTGATTCCGCTGCTGAGTTGGAACCAGTATTTGTGCAGCTGGTCTGGATTCTCCTTTGCTATGTTCTCGATATCGACTCCTCCTGATTTGGAAAGAATGATGGCAGGGCAGTACCTCGCGCGGTCGATTGTCATTGCTAAGTATAGCTCATCTGTATGCTCGACTGATTCAGTAACGTATAGTTTGTCCACAAGTAGGCCTTCCGAGATCGTTTGCTGGGTCATCAAATGGTGGCCGAGCATCTTCTCGGAGATGCTATAACCATCCTCTGGGCTATGGTAGGGTTAGCTTGGTTTGGTGCATATGCAAATGATATAAAATCGGGAAGTGGCTTACTTCTTAACAGCTTGTATCCCGCCGCGCAATCCATTGTCAAAGGAACCTTTGCCTCGCCCTCCGGCTAACACCTGGGATTTTAGAAAGCATGTTCGTCCTACCAATATCTCGGCTCAGTAGAGAACGGTATGTATCGTTGCTATAGCTTGTAGAAAACTCACCGATACTCGAAACAATTTCTTTGACTTCATGTGGCGTCTTCGCAAGGCTGCCCCGCGGCACTGGAATTCCAAACTGTCCAGATGGTGCGTAAGTTCAGAGCAGCTAAACACATAATTGAAGACATACTTCTTTGAGTAGGTTTTGCGAATGATGTTCGTGGATGCTTAAGCAACGTACTTGCTGTCGTCCAACATTATGACTTGGCTACACTTATTAGCATCTCCAAAACGCATAACAAAGACAAATGAGAGTAATTCTTGCAGCACTCACTATATGTGCGCGCGCGATCAACGATCTGAAGGATGGAATTGACATTATGCCCGGATGTGAAGTATGATAATCAGAGTAGAGTTGCCCTCTGCCAAAACAGGCCCCGTCACAGTATATGGAAATCCAGAGAGATCGGCGATAGCTGTCGAAACCCAGGCCAGGGGATAATCACCAAGTGCATGGGTAGCTCAAGCCTCTGTGCCCTTTAGCAGACCTTATCGTAAACCGAGTGGTCCCGAGTCCTATTTCGGTTATATGCCATCAACAGACGGGTCCGGGCGGGTTAGCATAGTTGCTCACTCGGGAAGCCGGTTACTTGTAGGGGGCTCTGGCACATCAGCCGGAGCCGACTTTCAATATTCTCCCAAGTCGTTACTCCATCCGGAGTTGAAAATCCGAAATAGGACGTTGGCTTGCATGTTTCAAAACAGAATAGCTCCTCAGGTTGCTATACATACAAGCATCATTGCGAACAGGCCTTTAAATCACCGTCTTTCTGTCTCTTCAGCCTTACAGCTCAACTTCGTCCTACCCTTTTACATGTAACTTTCTGTTCTCCCCAAAGTCTTAAAGAACTCCAGAGGTCACATAATTGGAATCATGACATTGAGACAGCGCTCCTGCGCGACCTGTTTGCGAGGCATGCGAACGCCGAGAACGACGAGGAGAAAATTCCACACATCAATATTTAACCAACCAGAACGGTATGAAACGAGCACACTTTCAAATTTGGTCATTGGCCCAGATACAACAGTTATATATCAAGGATTCACAGGCAAAGCTGTAGGTTCCTATCTCGTGATCGAGGAATGACCACATATTAACCTGATAATGAAGGCTACAGTCAATGCACAAGAAAGTATTGCATATGGCACGAAGGTAGTAGGGGGTGTCTCACCAGGGAAAGGTGGAAGGCAGCATTTGGGCCTGCCTGTATTTGACAGTGTTCGAGAAGTGCGTTTGCAGACAATTCTTGTATCCTCCGTATACCTCAAAGCTAATGCTATGGCTCAGGCAATGGAGAAAGTCAAACCTCACGCAAGTTCCGTTTTCGTACCCGCCATCTTTGCAGCCAATGCGATCATCGAAGCCATCGAGGCCGAAGTCCCACTAGTTGTGTCAGTCGCCGAACACATTCCTGTACATGACATGCTAAGAGTCCAGGAGGTTCTTCGTACGCAGACGAAGACCAGGCTGGTCGGTCCAAACTGCCCGGGAATCATAGCTCCTGAGCAATGTCGTATTGGAATAATGCCCTACAAACAGTATAGAAAGGGAATCGTGGGTATCGTGTCAAAGAGTGGCACGCTGAGTTATGAAGCTGTTGGATCAACGACGCTGGCAGGGCTTGGGCAGAGCCTTGTAGTTGGCATGGGTGGTGATATGCTTCCCGGTCAGTGTTATTCAGATTGGACCTTTAAACATAAGGCTGACATATCCATAGGAACAACTCTTGTTGATGGTCTTAGAGTGTTTTTCGACCACGAAGAAACTGAGGGCATTATTGTGATAGGGGAGATTGGCGGCACAGCTGAATTCGAAGCTGCAGAGGTCATTGCGAAATATATCAAATCAACTCCAAATCCGAAACCAATCGTCGCAATGGTTGCAGGACAGACCGCACCCAAGGGAAAGACAATGGGCCATGCTGGCGCATTACTGGCACCGGGAGAGCAAGGAGCCGCTGCAAAGGTCAGGGCGTTCGAGGAAGCAGGTGCAGTAGTAGTTCCCCATCCTGGGCTCATGGGAACAGAGATGAGCCGGCTTTTAAACAGACAATCTTTTTAAGAGACTGTAGTAGTACATCAATCAACAGTTTTTGTACTATAAACTCATAGAAGACCCATAGTGATCTCGGGACTTTTCAGCAAACGTTCAGTGATATATTGATTTCTGTGTAGCAGATCTTATGGCGGAACTAAGCTACAAAAATGTCCCCTTTCATTGCAACGGTCCCATCAGAGGCATAGAGAGTTTGTTTCGCGCTTCTGGTCTTCTCTTCCCTTTCCAGAATGGCTCTATACTGTTCTCCGACATACAGAGGCGACACAGCGCGATAGTTAATGCTCTTGGGGATGGCGTAGCCACCCTCATCTTCTGTGTCTCGCCAGAAATCAAGCATATTGATCAGATTTAATGGCCCATGTACCACAAGGTCTCTATGATTCTCTACATTCTGACACCAGTCACGGGAATAGTGTATTTTATGTGCATTCAGAGTCAACGCAGAGAAGCGGAAAAGAGATACGTCGGACTGGCAAAAGTCCCTTGTAACATCCCCTACACGCGGGAACTAAGCATGGATCAAACATTCAAACGTTGGCGACATACCTTCAGGTAGCTTCGCGTCTCCCAGTTGTGGTATCTGAGGTTTAGAACCTGAGATTTCCTTCCGGAACACCCAGTTGCTATCACAGGTATTCGTCAGCCCTCTAAATCAATAGAGTGAGTACAACAAGATGCCCACCGTTTGTCAACAAGTGCAATGCCATTCTGATTTGCAAAAGTCTTTTTGGTTCCAACAATGATCATCTCATCTCCTGTTTTTGATTTCTTGGCCTCTGCAGATACCAGTTCCGTCGTTTCTCTGACTGTTTGTCCGATTCTCAGGGGGTTCTCCTTTCCGGTCCAAATAAGCTCGCCACCAGCCCACATTCTTCTCGTGAATGGATGCGGAGGGTTTACTGAACGATCCGTGCCATCGATGCTTAGATCTTGCTCGACAGCTGAAGGTGTGAAAAAAACCAAATGATAACCTGGGGGGATGGGAGTCCCATCTGGTAGAGGATCTGACGTTATAGGGGTGTCTGGGTACAAGTGAGGACGGTTGAGGACCAGGCTCAACTTCTGGACTTGATTTGAGTCCAGAAGCTGGGTCCTGGTAGTTGGGCCATTTTTGGAAGCGTTACGCAAGAAGTTTGCGGCGATAGAAGATGCAAAGCCGGTGCACTGGGTGTAAAGTCTTTTAGTGATATAAGCCATGATACTTGCGAAGATAGAATCTACTGTATGTGTATCGGTTTCGCCGCGTTGCTGTTGCCTTCATAAGAGCTAGACTTAACATCTGACTGTGCGTCTCCCTCAAATATGAAACACTGATCTTGTGGTGTTTTCGAATTCGATAATTATTGAAGCTCAATTATGAGCTAACGCAAGGGGCCGCTCTCACATTGGCACATTGCTGCCCTTGTGAGAGACGAAAAAGGGTTTACCCTCAGGGCCTCTCCAATCGGTTACTATTGCTTGAACAAGGGATACGGCTCATTGGAAAGCAATCGTTGCTTCGTGCAAGGAAATCCCTACAGCATGTTCGCGTGTTGAAGGAGCTCCATAGCCATATAGGCTGATATAGCCGAACAATGGCCTCGGCGACTACCACCCCACTGCACTGCACAGTCTGCATTATAGAATATTGGACAGATACCCCGCGAGGGAAAGGGTAAAGTGACATCATAAGCACTCTAGCTAGGAATCCTTAGTATCTGCTTGCACCCAGCATCATATTGACTTTTCTTCTTGCAAATTGCCCCTTCTACACCCTTCAAAAAATACGATCTTTTCTCAACATCCCTCTGAAGCCAGTTTACGCCAACATGACATCCTCCAAAGTTACATTTACGGTAACCCTGCTTCAGCCCTCGTTACGGGATTTGGCTGACTTCATGGAAGCTCAAAAATAGTGCGCTCTTAAGAAACAAAGCGTATGTAGGAGGCAACTGGGCCGAAGCCAGGTCAGGGAAGACATTTGATGTATATGGTTAGTGAAGCAATTCAAAAACTGTATCCCAAGATATTGATCAAATAGATCCCGGAAATGGAAGGGCTTGGATTTCTTGCCCCGCGATGGGCGCTGAGGATGTCGACAGCGCCGTTTCATATGCCCACGATACCTTTCAAAGATACTCGAAATCGAATCCGCGTACTCGAGCCCGCTTACTCCTGAGATGGGACGAGCTAATAAGAGAAAATAAGGAGGATCTGGCACAGATTCTAGTGCATGAGACAGGTAAACCTTACAAAGAAGCATTGGGGGAGCTTGACTATGCTCTGGGCTTCACTTGGTGGTTTGCAGGTGAAGCAGAGAGAGTCCAGGGTACCATTTCCACTCCGTCCGCTCCTGGACGACGTGTTTTTACTGTAAAGCAACCTATCGGAGTTGCTGTTGCACTGGTACCATGGAACTTCCCCGTCGCTATGATATTGAGGAAAGCCAGTGCAGCATTGGCGGCAGGTTGTACGATGGTGGTCAAGCCTTCACCGGAAACGCCCTTGACAACGCTATCTCTGGCATACTTGGCTGAACAGGCGGGCTTTGATAAGGGTGTCTTCAGTGTCATGACTACTGATTTGGAAAACACGCCAACGTTAAGTGAGGCTCTTTGCAAGCACCCGCTTGTTAGGAAAGTGACTTTCACGGGATCGGTGAGTATTTAACTTTTCCGAAGGCGTGTGCCACATCATCACTTCTAAGGAGGCTGACTTTAGTGATAGACTAGAGTTGGCAAACTAGTTGCAAAACACTGTGCAGAAGGTCTCAAAAAGGTTACACTTGAGCTCGGAGGCAATTGCCCCTTTATTGTCTTTGATGACGCAGACTTAAACCAAGCCGCTGAAGGTTTTATACTCCATTCTCATCACCTAACAAGGGGCTGACTGTCATTCTTGTAGCACTCATGCTCTTAAAGTTTCGCCATGCGGGGCAGGCATGTATCACTGCCAACCGCGTCTATGTTCAACAGAGCGTATACGAACGTTTCTCTAATCTCTTGGTCGAAAAGGCTCGCTTGCTCAAGCTAGGCCACGGAAGTAAATCTGATACTACAATGGGACCATTGACAACCAAGGCTGGAGTTGCCAAAGCTACGTCTCATGTTGAAGATGCAAGAAAACATGGCGGCAACATTGCAACAGGCGGCAGAGCTCCTGGCCTGGAGGGGTACTTTTTCGAGCCTACGATTATCACCGGGGCAAATAAAGATATGTTGATTGTACATGAGGAGACATTTAGCCCTGTCTTGGCACTCCTGTCATTCGACACAGAGGAATCAGTCGTGAAAGCTGCGAATGATACTAGTGTAGGTTATGCATCTTTTGGTATATCTCTCCCGCACTTGCTAATCAAGCCGTTGATAGATGGGTCTTGCATCTTACTTTTTCACCAAGAATGTTGACCGTACTTGGCGTTTACTTGAGAATTTGGAGGCAGGCATGATCGGCATGAATACAGGTCCGAAGCATTCATTCTCAGAAACCAATGATTTCTCAGCTAATTTTTAATAGGGAACTCCTCAGCAGCTGAGTCGCCTTTTGGAGGGATTAAAGAGTCTGGATATGGAAAAGAGTCTGGGAAGGATGTAGCAATTGCGGAGTATCTGATCACGAAGACGGGAACAATGTCGTTAGATAATCATTATTAGGTCGTGTTATAGCAACAGCCAGACAATCCACTATTTCCAATACAAACTGCTACATACTATCCTACTGAGATGATGAGAGGAAAACGAGCATTCTTGTGTTCAAGGATTCTTAGGCTCAATATCGCAATTGCAAAGTGTAATCACTAATGAAAGTACATCAACCAAATCGAGTTTCTTTCAGTATCCTTCCAAATAGCTTTAACATTCTCAATTGTATTATTATATCAGAGCCTCAGAGACCATATAGGGTTCTATATAACAACTTATGCTGTTCAAGAAGCATGAAAGTAACGACAGTCTGCGGACCAAGTCTACCAAAACTAGGCACCCATCCCCTCGACATCCAACGGAGGCCTTCCGCCCGCGAGATATGCCTCACCAACTTTGGGACCGAGACAGGCTCACTGGAACTCATAATCCGTGTCTTTATGACATCTACAGGACTGCAAACAGTAGTAGCAACAAGACTAGCAAGCACCGAGGAGGCGAAATGGGTTCGCATATTGTCTCCCATCCCCAAGTCGCGGGTCAGCATTGATTTGAAGCTATCGTATGAAGCCAGTTGCGAGGAAGTCATTAAACCTGCCCGAATAGCATTTGGACCCCATCCCCGCATAAGACATTGCCAGCCTTCCTCCTTGGCCATCCGGATCCACGCATCGAAGATATGACTATAGCCACGTCTCGAGACGAGTGGGAGACCGCGATCACATTGCATACGAACGTTGGCGAGGTCTGCGGGGTTACCGATAATACCGCCTACAAAACCGCTGGCAGCGGCAGCTGGTATCAAAACCGATAATGTAGGAGGGTCTTGACTTTGACGCTGATAATAGGTTTTGATCGTCTCGTACAGAGCGAATCGACTCGTGCCATAAAGTACTGTGCTCATAGACAATTCAGCCTCATCTCGCTGCGAGATATTGGTAACTCAACGTACAAGTCCGTGTAAAGCCAGCAGACAACTGAGAAGAAGAGACTTAGCATCAATCACAGGGGAGGCTCATCAAATCATCACATACACCGTAATATAACCCTAGAAACCCGTCATTTCTAACGATGTGTGCAACCATTTCCAAGGCCCCCTTTCTAACTCCAAATTGGCTTTCAACTTGCATTCGGACCTGCTGGCTGTCAATGCTCTACTTTTGTTCCTTTGCTCTGACGAGGACCGACTTTGACTTTTAGAATTGGTCAGACTCAGATAGCTTTTTTCACCCCAGATCACGGAATTACACGTACCAAGCTCAAGGGGATGCGTTACGCAAACCGCCATAGACGAGGCTGAGCCTCCAAACCACACTGGGTACTCGACAATTCTAGCGACGCCATTCTGATATTTTTGCTCAAAAGCAGCCATGTTTCATACCTGCCTCTTTGCTCTCTGGGCATGATACTCAAGAGATAATATAAACTCAGGTACATTACGAAATAAGGTAACGTGGAGTTTAATATCTCTTAATTGGGTAATTACATTTTGAGAGACAGAAGAAACGAGAAACCGAACTGCAAAAGCCGAGTGATGCTGTAGCCTGTAGCTTGCAATGTCTTGCATATACCCGCGTCTTGCGTTAGCGGAGCGTTTTCACTAGCCCGTCAGATGCCATATAGCCGAAACAAAGCCCGCGTCCGTATGGGATGATTTCGGCTCGTTTCCTAGATAGGTAATTAGCTATGTTGTAGAGCTCGGGAGGCCGTGGCCACTAGGACGGGCGGGATATTGCTTCTATCCCCCACAATCACATGATGTTTCTAAACCGCTTTTCAAAGTCACGGGCTACAGTAAGGGATTCGTTGATCGTCGTACGTAAGTCTGCAAAATGAAGCTATTCAAAGTGCTACTACCTTCCTAAGGTACGTAAGGTACTTGATGAGCAAGGCAGATCCTAGACCCCAACAGTTACTTTCAAATATAATCACATGTCACCACAGCAAGTCAATTAGTATGTGCGCCATCAGGATACATGAATAAGTGCCATTGAATATAAATATATGGGACGCGGACAAAATATATGCCGGAAGCAAATACGCCTGATGCTGACATCCCTCCTCTAAAGCTTACTACCATTCGGCGCCAAGGGGCGTGGGCCCAAACCTTTAGCAATCGCAATTCCGGCCTCTCTCCCAAAAGCCATAGACCTCAAACACGATGTAGCTGGTGGATATTCATGATAGTATAAGCCAGTCATCTCACCCGATGCGTAGAGCCCGGGAATAGGGATGCCATTAGTGCTGAGGACCTGAGAATCGGTATTTACCTTTAGCCCACCATAGGTAAAAGTCAGATGCGATGTCACCGGAACACCATAGAAGGGGCCTTTTGTGATTGGGTTGGCCCAGTTAGTCTTGTTGGGGGTAAGGCCAGTCGTGGATTTCCCATCGAGCGACATCAGATCAAAAGGCTTGTCGTTGCATGCTGCGTTGAACTCCTTCACCGTCTTGTCGAGCTTGGCAGGGTCAATGCCGAGCTTTCGTGCTAATTCAGGGATTGAGTCTGCTTGTTCAGGTGGCTTATCTGAGGACTCGTATACCCAGCCAGGTCGGAATCGGTCCATGATTGTAGAGTCTGTGATAAAATAGGCCTCGGAATTTTGGTTCTTCCAGACTTCCAGAGCAATCATCTCAAATGTTGCGAACAAATGTCGGCTGCCTTCGTCCCAAAACCGCTTGCAATCCTTATTGACAACAATGCCATAGTTATGGCCCCAAACGACGGCGTCAGGTTTGGTTGCCCGTGTATCTACCAGCTCGCAGTGCAGTCCATCAAAAGAGCCAGCTGTCCCTGCGCCAACTTCCAGGGCCATGTTGATGCCAGCACCGCGGTTGTATTTGAGTCCAGGTGCAATGAGTGGGAGATCCACTGTTCTATTGCCCACGTACTTCGTAAGCATCTCCTGGTTTCCCTCAAAGCCACCGCTAGCAAGCATGACATGGTCTCCGTGGATATCGTATAAGCGTCCATCTGACTTGCGGGCCCTGATGCCAGTGATCTCTCCCCTTTGTGACTGGAGAAGCTTGATTGCTTCAGTCTCCCAGAAGATATCAACATTATCGTATGTCTCGATATGTTTGAAGAGATTATTGATGATAGCATTTCCACCTCCATCCGGGAAGACGAAGTGTTGGTTTGTGTCGAACTCCAGGAGAACGTTCTTCTCATGATGATAGGTTAGAGTAACTCCATGGTCCAGAAGGTACTTTGCCAGTCCCGGTACAAGCTCACCCAGCTTGCGGCAGTACTCAAGATCCGCAAGTCCCTTGCTAACGAGCTCCATCTCTTTGATCCAGTCCATGTCAAACTCGTTGTTTCGGCCCATGCGCAGGAATGCACCGGTCCATCGCGATGCACCACAACGCTCGCCTTTCTTGCCCACCTCAATAAGGGCAACGCGTCCAGGCTTGTTGTCCTTCTTGCATTGTTCTAAGAAGTTGAGCGTGGTCATACTTCCAGCAAAGCCGGATCCCACGACAATGAGGTCATAATGGGTAGCCATGGTCACTGTATCGTGTCTTAACTTTCGAACTCCGTGGATCGCTATACTCTCAGTCAGCTCAATTGAGATTGAACAGGGGCACCAGATGTTGAAGAAGCTCACATTGCTTATGTGAATCTGACAGGATCTTGCAGATTGGGGAGAGTTGGACCAGATGTTGGGTTGCAGAGGAGAGCAACAATTGGAAATTTGCCGAAGTCGCTGACCATTATTTATGTTTGTCCTCACGATGATTTGTGTGGGGTCTCCACGTTCTCCGCAGGATTATAGTCAATTCTGCAGCTCCAGGGATTGGAGTGGGATTGTAAGAAGCCGGGTTGAGCTACCCCGCTACCCCGCACATATTACCGTCCATAAAGCCGGAGGTTCATTGCAAAAGTCCAAGTAACCAGCGACGTGACTCGGACGTGAATCAGACTACCGAAACGCTTATAACAGACCATTGCTGTACGAAGTATCGGCAATTGGCAATTCTGCTGCAGATCAAAAGCATTGGCCTCTAATTCCGGCTTTCCCCCATTACCCTCATTCATTTCCGTAATATCGCAAAACCATGCCTTCATCCTCTCCTGAGAGAATGGATGTTTTGCCAATGTTGACACCTCGACACCTGATTGTATCATGGTATTAGAATTGTCTCACTTCACAGGTGTTTGTCTCTTCGAGCCATAGTGATGTGGTGATACCAGACAAGAATGTTTTGTAATTCTCAGCTCGACCTCTCGGTTTTTCGCAATACATATATGATGCTGCATGAGTTATTTTTTCTATTATCTGGAGAGCGTCGCAACAATAAGCTTGAAGCTTGAAGTTCAAAGTTCGAAGGTTGAGGCTTGCGGTACATTGGATTATCTACAATCCACGTCAAACACTGCCATCTCATTGATCGATCCCCTATAACCCACGCCAAGCGCCACCCTCTCATTAATCCTCGTTCTTATTGGTGTACTCGCTTGCGCCTTTGATGATGGTGCTCAAGTCCCCGACAGGAAGCTGAATAGGGAAGTCTACCGCAGCCAGTAATTGTGCAGCGATGATATACCACCCTGACAACCCGGCGACAAAGGCAAATGCTCCTGCAGTCTATCCTGCCCTGTTAGAAAATTGCATTTTTAGATGGCTGGCTTGTGAGAGCTTACCACTGTGAGAGTCTTTGCAGTCTCTGGACTCCCCTTCGCGGCATGGAAGTAGACTCCAACAAGACACGCAAGTGCTACGGTAGCGGTGAAAAACACCGAAACAAATGCCACACTCGTGCGAAGTGAACACACCATGAAGATGAAGCAGAGCAGAGTAAAAAAGAGAAGATAGAAACCTAGATAATGTAAGCACAGATTAACCTGCAGAAGATCTGACAGTGTCCCCTTCGTAGGACTCACCAACGCTGGCATTGAATCCCTGTGTGTTTAAACCATCTGCCGCGGTGCCTGTTGTAGAGTATGCGCCATAAGCATTGTAGAACGGTATCAACGTCACCCCAAACGTGAGCCAGAAGCCACCAAAACTGCAGAAGACGACGAATGGAAAGGTGTTGCCTAGGACGAACTCCAGGATTCCGCCAATTATCATGATCAAGCCACCGAAGAAGAGGAATACGCCCCTGTGGAAGTTAGCAAATCGAGTGTCCAGTGGAAACTGGAGAGGAACCCAATAATGTAAACTCACGTGGAAGCCGCTCCATTTCCCCCAGCGCCTCGCCATCCCATGAGATCACACGACAGAGGTGTCAGACTCATGGCAAAGCCAATAAGTGCCCTAGCTACAGTTACTATAACTGCTGGAAGAAGGGCTTTCAAGAAACTTGCATTGGAGTGGGATTACTAAGGGTTTTGCGCAGATCCCCCTTGACAGCGTTTTGAGGTGAAAGATATAGCTTCTCAAAAAGCTCAGGAGACATCACAATGCTCCCTGCGGTTCGAACATGATGGAGGGCATCAGAATGCTTGGAATATTCATCGGCGATTGCTGAGGTGTTGTGCATATTGTTCCCGTCGCCAGTGGAGTTTTGGTCGTTTGCTTGCATGGCCTCTATCTTTCAATTTCACTTGTTAGGCCGAAGAAGGATGTGTTGCTTGCCAATTTATGAGCTTCCGCAGCATATGCTCAGAAAAATATAGCAAAAGGTCAGGTCAAGGCCCGGGAGAGGACCCATATTTATATGATTATTGTGGAATCTGAAAAGAGCAGATCAAAACTGGAGCTCAACCAATTGCTATATGTGTTGCACTTACGGCAAGATACCTGATCATCGAAGTCCATATTCTGTAGATCTACACGAAGCCAAAGGCCCAAATGTCTGGGCAGTTATGGGGAAGGGCATCGGCTCCCTCCCCCATGGATCCACCTCATCCCAGTTCTCTAACTATACCCTTTTAGAGTTTCTGCCACCGAGAGACACCAATTCGGTTTATCGTCCTTCACAATCTTTGTTTCCATTATTTGTCTAAGCTAGTAAAGTAGGTATAGAAAGACTTGTACCATGTTGATTTTCCACTTGATAAGAGCTCAAAACAGTACTGAAGAGTTAACACAGCAGATACAAGGCCACATAGAGTTCCCCTGAGTTGTAGACAGCGGCACACCGCCTAAGAATATGGCTGGCATCTCCCTACCACAAGAGAGGGGGCGGCGGGGCGGGGCGGGGCCTGATGTGTCACTAGCTCTCCGGAAGGGGTTTAGGTGACCCCGCATACTCCGCTGTCTCCGCGTCTCCGCGTCTCCGCGTCCCCACGGAAGCAAGAGACAGTATAGTACCGCACGAACGGCTTAAATAGTGGATCAGCACGATTTAATTCGCTATCCAGTCGAAGACTTGTTGATCTCGCCCCTTTAGCGGCCCTAAAGAGAAGTCGGTTACTCGCTCAAAAGGAACTTTGCCCTAGCAGTCCGGGAATAGGCTATTAGCCTATTACCGTACAGACTCTACTCCTTACGACCCTAAGCCTTACGTCATATATTAGTCGCGTATCCTATGACCGTTGCATTTGCTTCACGGAATGATCCTCCCGCTCTTGTTACCTCGGTCCTACACATTTGTTCAAGCAAGTCCACACCTCACAAGGTATCTTTGTTTGATCTCCTACAAGCCTACCATGGAAGGAACCTGTCTCTGTGGCGCAGTTAGGGTTGAAGTCAAAGACGATAACCTTTTTGGAGGTCAAAGACGAGGCCATGTCTGCCATTGCACCAACTGCAGGAAGACGGCTGGCACAGGTAAGAAGTAACCACCTGCTAGTATTTATGGGGGATCGTTCTGCTTACATCAGTCTTCCGTGTCTAGCTGCGGCCACAAACCTGTTGATCGAGAGTGATAAGGTGGTCCTGAGTGGTGAGCACAATTTAAAAGAGTATATAGACACGCAAACTCTCAGCGGAACGCCACTTAGCCGATACTTTTGCTTCACCTGTGGAAAGTAAGTAGACCCTATGGCTAGGCTACCCCCTTTCTTCGACTTTCCATATATCAGTCTAATTCTCGCCGTAGCCCAATCAAATCAGTCACCTCGCTTTATCCAGGGAAGGTCATATTGAAATTAGGCATTTTCCCCAAGATTCCGGTGCCAGAATGGGAGTCTTTCGCGTCGCAACGCCAGAGTTGGGAAAAGCCTATCGATGGTTGTGTGCAATATAAGACCAAAAGTCTCGGGGAGGAATTGAAAATAGAATGAACGGTTCGAGCACATATGTAGCTGTGTCTTAAGTTGGCTTCATTCAGTCATCGTTGGTTTCAAATGTTGCTCAATCATATCCCCGCCACTATACTCAACTCTTTGGTGACGGCGTTCAACCATAACAGTTCTCTCTCTAATATCAAGCCCTTAGGTATTTTCCCCCCTGTCGATGTTTATATCATCCATGCTTCCATAGATTTTACACAACATCAACTTCAACCTCTTATGGATATTCCTTGACCAAGTTCTATCACCTGCTCGTGGAAGCATGCTATATTCAAATGTTCGACATCCTTTCTCCCCCAAATACCCTAACATTCAATGCCCCTGTTGACCTTTCTGCAGATTAAACTGCTGAAGTCATTGCTTCACTCGCAACGCTGCCTTATTTGTGAGAGGAATGTTCAGATGTACGCAGTATTTTTGGGTCTCTCCAGCATTGCAGCAAACGTCCATTCCAGATCAAGATCTTCCATCTTAATTCATTCACATGTTCCCATTCAAGTACAAGCAAGTTCATGACATGATCCAGAGATCCAAATAGATGGCGCATCAAAAAACCCACTTTTCTACCCCCAGACCCCGAGAACGACGGACACATTCTTCAAGACCTCTGGCGCAAAGCCCGTGATCGTATCGATCAGAAACCAGAAGGAGGATTCATGCTGCCAGACCACATAGCATCATCATTATGGGTGATCTGTAAGAACCTGGCTAATTTATGACATAAATCTCAGTATACTCTCTTATTCATTCGTCTTTTTTCTTTACCTCGAGACTACATGGTCTGATAAAATATACGTACCTGCGAGAATGGGTAATAACAAAGGACGATATACCCAGGAGTTCAAGTATACAAGACCACTCTTCAGACTTACCTACGGAGCTATTTAGCCAAATAGAGATGGAGTCTAAGAGTTAACCCCCATACTAGTGGACTTTTAAGGGAGGCATTTGAAGTTGAGTCATTGAATGATCTTTCCTCTGATGTCGCAAATTTGAAGTTGGATCGGAGGAAATACTTTGGGAAGACACGTAGAATAAGTCAAACGGATTTTGCTATTGATAGATGATTCGGTGTTCTGTATAAGGCGAATGAGAAGATTCTTGAGGGTACAAGCTTCGAAGATGCAGTTACGTTGGGACTTGGCCTGACTACAATTGTACAAGCATTGTACATGATTATGAAGCTCCCACTTCCAATCCATCCAGCTAAGACGCCATTCCCGGCATGATTTACGGGGAAGCACTGCAACCGGCACTCTTGCCATCCAACATACAACGCTGTCCGTCTCTCCATTTCTTGGATATATCAGATGACGATTCTATAGTTCAGGCCTGACACTCGTTACTATAGCAGGTCCGAAGAACTTCGATCTCGTCAAGTCACGCGCCGCTGATGCTATCTTCGATTGTCACGGCTCCGAGTTTGGAGAAAAGATTCGAGAATCCTTGGGTTTTCTCCACCATTTTCGGGACACGATTTCCATCGAGGGCAGCTACAAGATATGTATCGTTGCACTGCCGAAAGACCTTCGCACAGCTAATACCACTTCAAGCATGTTGGCCTAGACCACGTTTGGAGAAGCCTCCGACAGGTTTGGGATGGACATCCCTCAATGAGGGACCTTTGATCACGCAGCGATGTTCTGGAAATTGAACGTTAATTTACTTACAGAGGGCAGGATCAAACCTTATCCGGTCACCTTGCGGGCGGGCGATCTTTAAGGAATCTCGGTGAGGTAAGTCTCGATCTGAAGTTGGCTGTCAAGAATCAAAGTAACATGTGTTAGGATCGCCGACGTGGCCAAGGAAAACATTAGTGGTTCGTAGCTGGGCGAAAGCGCTGTAGCGGGAGGAGATGAAACCGTAAGGGCCGTGCTTGGACCAACTGGTCGAGCTCTGAGCTTGCTACATGTCCCTGCTTCGCATGAGATAGATATCCGAGTCTTCACTCGTGTTGCAAAAATTTGGTCGAATTCCACTGGGTGTCCCTTGCTATTTGGATCGAAGTATTTTAGAAGTTTAAGCCCGCATGCAAGTACTTACACGACAGCAGCAACCGTACCAGTAAGGTGTTACAGTGGTCCTTTCGTTGCTATTATACTCACCTAGCTTTACCTCCTATACCCCTTGATCTGCGGTACCCCTCTCGCACAACACTTAGAAGTCATGAATGCCGATTGGACTTGCTTCTTCTCAACTTCCTCATCTATTTTCCCAGGCTTTATCATGACTTGACCAAGGGATGCAAGACCAGAGCTTGCTTTGGAAGAACTGGAATATAGCTGTGGAGCCCATAGCATGCATCGCTATTCTTATAATTTCGACTCCATGGTTGAAGGTGACAATCAGCCTGATCAGATTATGATTAGCGGTCAGGAGCTTGCTAAACTTCCAAAGTCCGTACATTGGCTGGGTCCTTTGGTAAAATATTCTATTGCCTCAGGTATTGTTACGCAATCCGGGAACATCGTCGGGCTGTTGGTTAAGGCTCAGCTATGCGCGTGTATGCGCACTCGCTAACACGTACCGTGACGCAAGGACGCCCTGTGTATAAAATTGATTTAGCCAAAGGAGATGTTTTTATACGGAGTAAATTCGTAATCCGGCGTGGTGGAAACTCCGTGGTGTGTGGGGGTAAACTGAACACTAGCCTTCAGCCGTCTTGTTAATCCTTCCCTTCAGCGGTACCGAGGTGCCCATAAGTATGGGTGGGATATATCCGCCAACACCACCCCCCTACTAGGCTACATTACGGAGTACAGCAGAGAACATGCGTATTGTTTAGGATTAGGAGACAGCCTAGTAGGGGACCCCATACTAGCTGATATTCCATTTTCATGTACTGTACCTCTATATAAAGACGAACAAATCTACATGGCTTTGTTTCTTTCCGCCCATGAGTGGAAGAGTTCATCTTACCTCGTAGTTAATACAACAATGCTTCAATTACTTACTTCTCCGGTTCCGCTTTTCATCTTTGTAGTGGTGCTTCTCGTGCTAGCCAAAAAGGCTGACCGCAAATGGCAAGGTATTCCTCAGGCCCAGCTATGTCTTATGAGCAGACATCTGACAGTGCCATATAGAGCGGAAATTCGCGCGTGAGCATGGCTGCTTGCCACCACCAACAGAGCCAAACAAAGATCCTATTCTTGGACTAGACAAGTTCCAAAAGATTCTGACAGCAGCCCGTGAGAATCGGATCTTGCCGCTGTCGTACGGTCGATTCCAGCAGAATGGAAACACTTTTCAGTCCAACGTGCTGCTCAAACGTGGTATCCACACGATAGAACCCAAGAATGTGCAGAAAATTCTGGCTTTGAATTTCAATGATTTTGAGATGGGGAAGCGGAGAAAACACGCTTTCGGTCCCCTCCTTGGGAGCGGGATTTTTGCTGCCGATGGAAAAGAGTGGGAGCACTCACGCGCCCTCCTGAGACCCAGTTTCACTCGCACTCGGATCTCTGAAGTCGATATATATGAGAGACATCTTCATGACTTGATCAGCCGCATTCCACAGGATGGATCCACAGTTGATTTACAAGAGCTCTTCTTCTGCCTGGTATTAATTCCGTTGAATCTAATGCTCCGAGGTTTCTCATCTGACTGTCACTCTAGACACTTGACACGGCAACGGAATTTCTCTTTGGTGAATCAGTGAACTCTCTGGGTACTGGCTTGTCTGTATCCTCGAGCAATTTTGCCGAGAATTTCAGTGATGCGCAAGATGGAATCGTCCATCGAGTCAGGCTGGGATCATTCAGCTGGATGTTTCCTAATGCTAAATTTGACAATGCGGTTCGAGAAGCTCGCAGCTTCGTCGGTCAATTTGTGCAAAGAGGCCTGGATTATCAAGAAAAAAGAGAGAGAAAACAAGCACCGGAGGAAAGTTACGTCTTTTTGGATCAGCTCGCCCAGCAGACGACAGATAAGACTGAACTCACGGATCAACTTCTCAACATCTTACTTGCTGGCCGAGATACAACAGCCAGTCTCCTTAGTATGGAGTTTTTTATCCTCGCTAGACGTCCAGATGTTTTGAAAAAACTTCGCGCTGAAATCTCAACACTTGACGGTCGGCCGCCATCCTTCGAACAGCTGAGGGACCTTAAATATCTCACATGGGTTCTTAACGAAAGTATGAAAACACCACGCCTTGCTTTCTCAATTTGGCTAATATAGAATTAATAGCTCTGCGATTGTATCCTGTTATCCCACGCAACGTTCGTACGGCCGTGAGAGATACATGTCTTCCCTTAGGCGGTGGTCCGGATGGGAATTCGCCCGTTTTTGTCAAAAAGGGACAGAACATCACATTTGATGTATACAGCATGCACCGTCGTCCGGACATCTACGGCCCCGATGTTGATGAGTTCAAGCCGGAGCGATGGAACAGTGTCAGACCGGGCTGGGGATACCTGCCCTTTAGTGGAGGCCCAAGGATCTGTATTGGGCAACAATTCGCTCTGACTGAGGCTAGGTATACTACAGTCAGGATGTTGCAGCACTTTTCAAACATTGAAAGCAGAGACTCCGAACCGTGGCAAGAGCTGTTAACGGTGACGTGTGCCAGCAAAAATGGAACTAAGGTCTCATTGACGCCAGCATGAGGAATAAGAATATCAGGGGGGTTAGACCATCGGTGCCTCCTAGTTTAATTGCAATTGAAACCTGGTATCATGAGCCCAAATCAAGAACTAGATTCTCACAGTGCACAGATATATGTCAAGAGGAGTTTAGATATAATTACACATGATGTCACAAGACCAATGCCGATACTGTTTATAGATGCATGGACTCTTCATTAACACATATTTTATACAGCAGGAAATAAAGTTTTCGACTCCGTAGAGCCGTAGAAATGCTCCCACCCCGTTGGGGTGTTCAGTCCACGGAGCCAGTAGCCACCATCACCAGATTTTACAACAACAGCAACTGGCCACATACCATCCCGAAGGTTACGAACCATTGGATTCACAAATGTGACTCTGGCTTGGCTTTTACCGACGGCCGCCCTAGAGAAATCTAGCCCAAAATAATCACAAGTTGTCCATGAGGTAATCATGGTCATAGACAAGCCGCTGCCGCTCCGGATGCTGGGGAAAAGCCTTCGGTGCGAGTTATCTTCACAGTAACGAAGATATTCTCTTATTGAAGACGCCTGTTTGTATCGTAATGTGGTTAGACGAAGATTTTGCGCGATTTTAGTGATAGAGTCTGTCCGGAGCTGGTTGATGGAGAATTTGCATCGCATAAAGCCGAAACTGTTGTGAATGTAGTAGGTCCCCTTAGGAGGAGGTACTATCAACTGTCGGTAGTTCATCGGCCCATAAAAATCCATCCGATCATCACTCGCGGGAGCAGTTGCGTATACAGTTTTGAGGAACCAAGCATTGATTATGTCGTTCCGTGTAGGCTCATGGCTGCCGTCTTCACTTGAACTCTGCTGTGTTTTTATCGTGTTCAGCACTTTTGCGCGTATCTGGTCCACCCACGGACCCGGCAGATACACCAGTCTTGCTTCCAAGCGCTCTCTCCACCCGATCCATCGGGAGAATCTTATACGCAACATCCGCCACAAAGCGCAAACTATCTTCAGAAAGCCATAATCAAAGTTCTCTTTGTGTTCTGTATATCTGATACTGGGGACGCTCCTCAAGTCCTCTGCTTTGTCCACAACCGTCTCAGATAGCTTGACCCCCCTAGAATCTGGGGGCAGCACCAGCTCCGGAATGGGCTTGTCGGATAACAGGGCGCAGAATGCCTTCATCACATTTAACGAAGCGGTAGCATCGGCCAGATGATGGCTGAAGCCAAAACTCAGTAATGTCGCATCTTCCAAGATAGTGATCCGAAAAACAAAGACATTATCGACCGTTGGCGCTATATCAAACAGGAATTTCTCGTCGATCTGCTCTATCTTTGCCGACTCGAGGATTTTTGGCGCGTTTTCTTCACCTCGCTCATAGTCAAGAGGGAGATATGTTGCTAAGTCTTTGTCGATCTTTCTGCTCTCAACATCGGCTGTCAAGCCCAATGATAATGACCATGGACTTGTCTGCGCCCAAGGCGTTAGCAGTAGATATACACAGAAGCTGGGGAGACATCTAGCTCACTGTTCGTATTAGGCGACCACCTAAGACTGGCCAGGCGGTAACCAACTCCCTCGTCTTGATTCTCAGAAACTCCTCATCCAAAGGGGCGTTTACAACGAGTCCAGTGAAGACGATGCTTTTCCGGGTGATTGGATTGACGGCATTGCAGCAGTATTGCTGATGCTCAGACTCTGTTACTGCCATGCTGATCGATTCTTGAGATTGGCTTTTTCGGTGTGCCGAGGGGGAAAACGGCTGAAGGATGAATGGATTCTGTGACTCTCTAGCGCTCTCACGCAAGGCAGATAGCACGTGTATTCTAGGAACGTAGTTTGCGCTTTAGCCATTCGATTGTTGATAGTATAAATCACGATCCGCCGAGTGTCATCTTGCATGATACGGGATATTTCTGAAGGGGTGCATAGTCGTACGCCGTGGCCCTACCAAAGTCCTGTCGGCAAGTTTTCCGGGTTACCCACAAAGTCTCAGTCTACTGTGCTGATCCATCCTCGTGCTGGGATTCTGGGAACGGCAGTTAATCTAACCCCCCCCAAACAACCTCTCCGGGGTTAAACAACCGGGTCCCTGCAGCAGTAGAGTACACCGCTCTTGTACAGGAAGATGCGCCTGCCAACCCTCAGGCATTTGGAAATAATACGGTAGTTGGATGCAGCCTCAAATTCCATGCAGAGATAAGACGAACAGGGTGGGGCCTAGCCTCGCGAATATCCCTCGTTTCTACTATATCCAGATTAGGCAAAGGGCCAGGATCATACACGCTACAGTAGCTGGCTGGCATGTATTTGAGTTTGTATTGAATACAAGGGCCATTAAGGATTGCTTGAAAGCGGCATTCTGCAGAAAGATCGTCCAAGGGTAAGTGGTAGGCGCTTGGGGACCCCAGGTTGTATCGCTACATCTCCTATCGTAAGACCTTTCACTCGTGAACAACTCGTCACAGCCTTTCAGCTACACCGGATTGGATGCACTATTTACGAGACAGAGGGCGATCCCTGATACCCTCAATTAGATCCGACCCTGTATACAGGTGGATAATTATATTGGGACGCTTTTCTGATTGTTACACGACGTAAATTGTTACACGGCGTGGGCCGACCCACCGGATTTTGGAGCTTATTTTTAAGTGGAGTGGCTAATGGCCCTTGTTAAGCCACCTTAGGCTTAGTGTAACGGACCTTAGCGAGGGTTTTAAACCATTACCTATTGGGGTAAGGTATGCGGGAGATAATGGGAGGGGTGGGGCGAGTAAAAGCTTAAACAGACGGCGCTGGAAAGAAGATTAGCCCTAGCTGCGTCGGGAAATTCCCTGAAAAGCGCCGCCGATCTCTCCATCTACTTCGGTTCCATAACTCCGGACACTCCCGAACACCACCTGGCTGGATCCAGACGCCCGAGGATCGTCAACAATGTCTAAGACTCTGAAAGGGATTCCTGCGTTTTCTTGCTCGGCCCTCTTTTGTCTCCACGAGGATCCTCAGCTCTTTTGGACGTGGTCCATGAGGGTTGTCTAGATGATTTGATTCGTCTCGACGGGGTAAGCCCAGACCAGGGGGCACTTTTCAGCCGCACCAACGAACGCCCCGTACCCGCCTTTCTCCCAAAGCTTGCCAAAGCTTGGTCGAGCTGGGGGATCTTTGAAAGATCCGCGAAGATCCGCGAAGATCCGCGCTACCACGTAGGCACACCTGATAAGTAGGTTCGCGAGGGTCCTGGCAAGGCCACATCAACACAGACGATGTCACAGGAAAACCATGGAGGCACCCTGGCGATGCCTTAATTCTAGACTAGGAGCCCTGGTACGTACGGTATACTCTACACCGTACGTGTGCTGTGCCTCCGTACGAGGTTAGCCAGAATCCCCTGACTGCCCACCGAACAGCAGCGTCGGTGATCGGGGGGTTCGAACTGCCGACATGAAAACCACGTCAGATAGTTTGCTACAGTATCTTGAAAACACTGAACAGGTTGGATGTTTTCAAATGACCTGAGTCTTACGGAGTCGTTTCTCTCTCCTGGAAGACCCAACCAAATCTTGCAACATGGCCAGCGTTGAGCAAGCCGATGTCCAAGGCAAACCGTGGGCGGAGCTTGTCACGAATCCAAGTCAGCCTGTTGTAGATGCTCCTCTAACGACAGAATGGAAGGCTGGACGGCAGGAGTATCTGATTATTCTCTCCTTGGCTATAGTCGTTGTGATGGCCTCTCTGGACTCGAGTATTTTTCTGCCGGTTCTGCCTGTAAGTCTTTCACGATGCACTCCCTGTGTTTCCCGTGTTATCTGCATTTCTCTTCTAACCTCAATTTTCCCAGACGATAGCCGAAAGCCTTCACGGTGATGCGACCAGCACTTTCTGGGTAGGCACCGCCTACCTGCTCCCATGTGCTGCCTTCCAGCCTTTCATGTCTTCTCTTTCCGACATCTATGGCCGGCGTAGCATCTTGCTTCTTGCGCTGTCATTCTTCACCCTTGGCTCGATCATTGGCGCAGTTGCCCAAAATATTGCCACTTTGCTAGCCGGTCGAGCATTGCAGGGCATTGGAGGCGGTGGCATTATCCCGCTCTCCATGATCGTGATGACGGATATTTTCCCTTTAAGACAACGTCCCAAGTACGCCAGTCTAATACAACTGTCCGTGGCCTTCGGAACCATTCTTGGACCCGTGGTTGGCGGCATTTTTGCTCAGTATGCAGAGGGGCACGGAGGCTGGCGCTGGGTGTTCTATATCAATTTCCCCTTCTGTGCGGCTGCTTACCCCATGCTCTTCTTCTATTTGAATCTAAAGAGGAAAGGAGACGATATCCCACACGTGGATTGGATAGGCGCTGCTCTATTCATTGCCAGCGTTCTGAGCTTTTTGATAGGCATTTCCTGGGGCGGAGTCCAATATTCCTGGAGCAGCTTCCAGACATTACTTCCGCTGTGTCTCGGGATAGCCGGTCTGGTTGGAACTATCGTGTACGAGCGTTATGGAGCAAGCTCTCCATTTTTGCGTCTGTCCATTCTTCGTAATCCGTCGTCAATTGCCGTCTATATTGGCTCGGTCGTTCAAGGTATTCTGGTAAGCCCACCTCTCCTTGCTCTAAGGATTCCATTGCCTCATAGGGCCGACTCTATGTCACGCGCTTACCTCTTACACCAGCTCTTCGGTGCTCTTTATTATATATCCGTCTACCTGCAAGCGGTACAAGCGCTGTCTCCTACGATAACCGGAGTTGGCATTTTGCCCGTTTCTGCGATGATGATGCCATCGAGCGTCATTGTGGCTATTCTGATCTCCAAGCTGGGAACATATCGGTGGGCTCTCTGGATTGGCTGGGCCATAACTGTAACAGCCACTGGTCTACTTATCCTGTTCTATGTGAACACATCTACCGGAGAATGGGTCGGCATTATGCTCGTGCTTGGACTCGGTCACGGCGTCTTGTTCAACTCTCTCCTGTTTGCCGCACAGGCGGTCTCGCCTCCGAAGGATGTAGCCTATGCCGCATCCCTCTACACCTTCATGCGTACCGTTGGATTTGCCATTGGTGTCGTGGTCGGAAGCACTGTGTTCCAGAATATGATGTCCAAAGCCCTCCAAAATTATGGATTGCCTACGGAACTGGCCGCGAACGCAGAAGGCTACATTTCTACCTTGAAAACGCTCCCGGCGTCCGCGCAGAAAGACTTGATCCTCAAAGCCTATGCGCAGGGTCTACAGGGTGTTTTTGAAGTTCTCACAGGAATCGGAGGTCTCGGAATCATTGCCACAGTATTCATTCCACATCGGAGCATGGACCGCCCTCTCGAGTCGGATCACACCCTGAACTCTACCCCCAAGGCAGAATAGGCAATTTCCAATCTTCACCAAAGCTTTACCACTTCTCAAGTCGGCATGACTCTATCGTTTAGTCTGCAAATGCCTTTTACGGATACCATCATTATACAACCTTCGGATTTTGATGAAGCAGGGCAGCAGCGGCCCTTGTCCTGTTTATAGCATACCATGAACTTCATAATATATAGGCTATAAGAAGATCTAAGGCCTTTAGTCCTTAGACTCTAAATTTAGATTATGTACATCCAATAATGCGTTGTAATCAACACTGTACGTGGCTTATATTGTTTAACCCCCAAATCACTCTGAGCATACCATTGAAATGCCATTGGCTTAGAGACTTGGAGAGCTCCGTATAAGGGAGGGGATAGTCAAATCGAGCAGTCTGCCAGACTCCTGGCAATCACGGTGAGCTCCAAATTGCCATTGGTCTAGACACGAATGAGATTGAAGACGAAGAAGCGGAATTACATGTACCTCGTAGAATAATAAGAGAAGATCTCCCATTGACAGTCGATTGCAACCGAATGAAGCTTTTCTGATCCAACAGATCAACAAGTACGATCATAGGCCAACCCTGACGACTCTGGACATGAACCCCCTACTCGGAAGTATGAGTTGGTATATTGGGCCCATGCCCAGCGTTTAGAGCGCATTGAGTGTCACTTCACAGACACGATGTTATCGCCAGCCACAGTATTGTTAGTACGGACAAGGGTCTGCACACTACCTTTTATCCGCCGCAAGTAGCGCTCCTTATCCGCTTTTCCCCCCGAACTTAGTCAAACTAGACGATCTTTAAGAGATCCGCGCTTTGGCCTTACTACGTGAAATTACTATACCTGAGATAGCAGACTAGGAGCCCTTATGTACCAACGATATTCACGCCACTTTCACTTGATTACACCTGAACCAACCGGCGCCTAATAGCCTAGTGCCACAGATCCCATTGTCATCCAGGACCTTGCAATCAAAAATTGATTGGGCAGGAATCTGAACGAACGCATTGCAGGCATACGGCTGGATCCTGCCTTACGCACTATATACAATTGGCAGGATCGAGAATATCTTGAATATCATTGAATGTATGTAGATCTCTTGACCGGTTTTGGTCATGGGAAGAGAATCCTCTGTGCAGATCTGAGTTGACGGCCTAATGTACCCATAGTGAGGAACATCGACGGCCTGGGAATTGGCCGCGCGTTGAAGGGTCCACGGTGGGGTATCGAGAATTTCAAATTTTATCACGGTGCGAAGACAAGTGAGGATGTAGGAATACCAGTATTGTGGTTCTCAGTAGCTAAGAAGACATTGAGCGATGGTTAACATAAAAATACCCGGAAGGAACTTCCGGCAGATCGTGATCAAAAGATGCGCCTGGCAACTGTTGAAATTCTCGCACCAAAGGAGATAAGGAAAGAACCCATCCAGCGACAAGTTTAGGAAGATCCTTCGCCACAAGGTTTTGGTCCAGTGTAGATCTGCTGAGGCCGCCAGATCTCAGGGGTTCGCCCTGCCAATGAGAAACGGGAGTTAGCTACGATCGCGCAAAGGGGTTTAGAAGGGAAGTTAGGGAACGGGGATCACCCACCCATGGCCTCCTTCCAGTGTGCCATGATACCGGGCATTCGTGACAGCATCGTTACCGGCGTGATGAATTCAACGGGGACCCCCCTTAAAATGGTCCGAATTAGCCTCGCATCTTTACGTATGGTTGGTTGATAGCGTGTTCAATACTTACAGGGCCGTGTAGACAAAGCTGCCGTACAGGTCTGCATTGGCTTGAAGGTTACGGCTCGTGAAGTACTCGTCGACCCCAGCAATACGGTCGATCTCCATGGCAATAGCCAGGACCGGATCCATGTTGGCGGCGAGATCGCCCTTGGTGAGACCGGCAAGCATCTCACGAATGAAGCGGCTGCGAGGGTCCACGGTCTTATAGATGCGATGACCATAGCCGAAGAGCCGCATCTCCTTGTTCTTCACCCGGGAAATAAGGTTCGGGACATTCCGAGGGCTCCCCACGTCCCGCATAGCTTGGTAGGCCGTGTCAATGGCGCCGCCGTGAAGGGGCCCATAGCCAGAAGCCACGCAGGCAATGGTGGCCGACACAGGGTCAGCCAGAGATGAGGCGACGTGGAGGAATGCCGCCGTCGAATTGGTCATTTCATGGTCCGCGTAGAGGACCCAGAGTCGCTGGAGGATTTCGACTTTTATGGGATCTACATCGGTCGTCTGCGCATCAGTAAAGCCACCCATCCGCAGAAGGTTCTCAATGAAGGAAGCTTCCGGGTCGGCCTCCTGAAATTTCCGACCCTTCTGGTGGCAGAAAGTAAGAGAGACCACTACGGCACTGACAGCAAGGGTCCGGATGATCTGTTGATCGACCATCTCGGATTTGCCGTTGTAAAGATTTTTGCCGACAAATGACGGGATCAGATTCGGTTGTTCAGCCATGAATGCTGTTAATCCAGCCATGCACATCACGACTGGTGGGGTATCACGCCTACACAATATCGTCAGCCATGGGGCAACGCTGGGGAGAGCTCTCTTACGGGTAAGACTCAATGATTTTCCGGACACACGGAGGGGCCACGCAGGCTTTTGCCAGGTCTCTCCTTAACTTCATTCTTTGTTCGTCGGTGGGAAGATCTCCCCAGATGAGGAGGTGGGCAATATCTTCATAACTCTTGGAAATCAGGCTTTCAATCGGCCGTCCTCGGTACAGAATAATACCACGTTCGCCATCTCTGAAGCATTGTCAACTTAAACTAAACTCCTAGTAATCAAAGGATGATACAGTCAGGTGGTGCTTACATAAAAGTAATATCGGAAAGTTTAACAGCAGTATTTCGGTATCCAGGATCCAACACGCGGAGTCCTTCTTCAAACTGCTGCCGGGCATTCTTCCCTTTCGTACCCGCACTTATTTGTCTCAGGCTCAAGGCTGGAATAGAGTTCCGGATAACAGGAACATTGTATTTGGACCCAGTCCGGTTGTCGGTGATAGTCAAAGTACCCTCTACCTCTTCTTTAAACTGTGCTATCAGGAGCGAGTTCAAAGAATTAGATTTGAAGTATGAAAGCAACCCGGCGAAGAATTGAAAAGGGGCCCAAATATTAGGCAAGGCGAGAGTGGTGGACATCTTGGAAGTATATTCGTATATTCAATAAACGATGTCGAGATGTAGAAGATAAGACCCCATTGAGTGGGCGCAGGGTCAATTTATATTCTCTTCACTGTCCCAGACTGCTTCTTTCAGAGCTATTTACATTTCTTGCATTCCGGTCATCACTATAAGCGGAGCAGGGAATAGAGAATTAATACTCAATTTGGCCCAAAGTTCCTTCTAACGTTTAAAATATATATTCGGCCTGAGCCCAGAGTTTTGAACACAAGTGAGACACTCAGAACACAAGGGTCTATATTCAAGGGTCTTTTCAGCCAGCCACGCCCAGATTAGTGCCACAGAAGCTTATTTGGCGCTATGGACAATTTACGAACACGGTGGGTGTAGTTAGCGTTCGTAAATACTCCGTAGTACCTATCTCAGCGGGTCCGTCGAGATGCCCGGGCAAGCCAGGGGGCCCACAGGATCGACTTATTTAAGGCACGGTTAAGTAGAAAGTATCTCTTCACACGAACACACCTACCTCGCCTACATTCATTCAATTCCATATTGGCCAGCAACATGCCGAACAGTGATATGGCAACCGGCAAGACCGGGTCCTCCGACTCCCCCTACGACGATCTGATCTCCGAAATCGCATCTTATGCGTACCATTACAATGTGCAAAGCGAAAGGGCAATGCAACAGGCTCGTGTGGCTCTGCTCGATGCTATAGGCTGCGTGGTCGAATGTCTGAAGACTAACCAAGAATTTACCTCGATGGTAGGCCCGGTGGTCCCAGGCACCTCCGTTCCCAATGGATTTAAACTCCCGGGGACAGCTTATCAGCTGGACCCTGTGAAGGGTGCTTTTGATATGTCGTCATTGACCCGCTATCTCGACCACAACGATGCCTTTCCTGGCGCCGAATGGGGCCATCCTTCAGGTTCGTGCTTGTGTACGCATTCTTACTTTCTGATGCACCCCACTAACATATCAACAGACAATCTGGGTGCCATCTTGGCTGTTTCCGACTGGCAATGCCGGACCCGCAAGTCTTCTCCAGGCACAACCCATGGTGGACCACCCATGACCATGAAAACGGTCCTCACTGCCATGACCAAGGCCTATGAGATTCAAGGCTGCTTTCAGATAGCCAATGCATTCAATAAAGTGGGACTTGATCACACTATTTTAGTGAAAATAGCCTCCACAGCAGTTGTGGCATGGCTGATGGGTTTGACTGAAGCTGAAGCTGTTCGCGCACTTTCTCACGCGTGGATCGACGGCCATCCTTTACGGATTTTCCGGCAGGCACCGAATGCAGGCCCTCGGAAAGGATGGGCGGCAGGGGATGCCACCATGAGGGCGGTTCATCTCTGCTTCCTCATGCGGGCCGGCCAACCGGGCATCCCCACCGCGCTCACCGACCCAGATTGGGGGTTTCAAAGAACCAGCTTTGGAGGCGCCGCTCTGCAGCTGCCACGCCCTTTCAAGAGCTGGGTTATGGAAAATGTGTTTTTCAAGTTGATACCGGCTGAGGGTCACGGCATCTCTGCCGTCGAGGCCGCCGTTCAGCTATGTGCCGTCCTATCCTCCAAGGGGCTCAATGCTACTACTGATATCGCTCGCATCAAAGTGCGCACGCACGAAGCGGCATGCCGAATTATTGACAAGAGAGGCCCACTGTCCAACGCGGCCGACCGAGATCACTGCATGCGTTACATGCTTGCCGTTGTCCTATTGAAAGGCTCCATCATTGAGACTGCCGACTACAGCAACTCGAGTCCATGGGCTCAGGATCCACGCGTGGAATCACTGCGGCAAAAGATTGACATGACTGAGGATAAGCAGTTTACGCATGATTATCATTACGCCAAAAAGAAGAGCGCTGCCAGCGGTCTCACCATCGAGCTGGTGGATGGCTCCATGTTGGACGAGGTCGTTGTCGAACACCCCTTGGGCCACCCAGGGAGACAGGATACTATTCCCGCTGTACAAAACAAGTTTCGACAAAACATGCGCCTCATGTTCCAGGACACTGAGATCAATCATATCATCGATGCGGTAGAGGATGATGCGATGTTGATTAGCGACTTCACGGATCTCTTGGTGCGGCCTGAACCCGCCAAGCCTCAAGCCAAGTAAGCGTCAGCTTCTTCTTCAAGAACTGCAGAGTTTCCAGGTGGTAATTTAGTGCCGGGATTGGGGAATCTTACAGAAAGTTCCTGGTTTATTTACTGGTTGTTAGTCTTACCCAGTGCCACAGAAGAAGGCAACTGCAGGCACGGGGTAGAAGTCGTTGCGTCTTCAGGAACTAAATTAAATGTTATCCAATCCACGGCAATCAGAAGATATGATAAGTACCAATGACTGCACATACTCAATAGTCATGTATCTTCATATTAACATTTCTTCTTTCAAATATGTGCTAAAAGGTTTAAGCAGCAGTAGGTAGGTTGAGAACCGTTTTCATTCCGTCCCCTTCTCAACCAAGCAGTCTATCATCCTTTGGATGCCACTTTCAAAACGGAATCATTCCTATCTTGGCAATGCTGAGCATCTATATCTGCTCCTTTTTTCAGATAATAACATCAAGCAGTGGCGGGTAGAGGGGCTCTCTTCTTTATATAGAGGTGGATTTATCAACTCTATGGCATTCTATAGTCAAGCAGCTACTTGCCCACGACTTCTTGGCCAAAGCTAAAGGAGTCTTGTCATAGTAGCATTGTTCTGTAGAAGACGTACGATAGGCTTGGATAGGCAATGCTCCCATGGCACTAGCTTTTGCCGTGATGGCCTCTCCTACCACCAGAACAATGTCTTTACCTTTGGATTTGATTTCTACCCCCTCAGCTATGGGCGTTATTTCTCCCTTGCCTAATGGTTGTACCTTTGTGCGCTTCCTACTGGCGCGCACTGGCGCGCATCATACCAATCCCTTCTTCTTCCTCTAGTTCTCGAATCAAATCATCCCGCCCAGAGAGCTTCTCCCTCAGTGCGCTGCTGTCCGACCGCACAAGGTAAGTACTAGGTAGGCGAGATGCTCTATTGGCAAGGAAGAAAAATTACACTGTGCATGTCGCTCTGTACAAAGTTATCAGAACATATCTAGTATCACAATGGCAAAATACAAGATCAATGTGGTTCTATTCGAAAGAATAACTAAGTTAAACGGAAGAGAAAAAAGCAAAACAAAAAATAAGTCGGTCCAGAAATGCTATTTTCCCCTCATTCGTGACATCCAGAAGAGGGCTAAATTATATGCAGTTACGTAACAACGTTAACTGTCTCTGCCTCAAACAGGTGTTTGAGCGCCACCGTAATATCGTTGACATTTTCAATATTCAGGATAAGATCCTCGATCTTTTGCTGGCGGTCGGCATCAATAACGCCTCTTGTCGTTGTGCGCCATTTCTGCAAAACATCTTCATTAGACAAGGGCGGATCCACTCCCCGCGGAGCTTTCAGTGTCACTGCAATTTTAGAGTTGTCGTCAAACTCTATTGTAAGTCTCTGAGCATAGCTGAAATCGAACTCTTGTATCGCTCGACATTCGATCTTCTCAACCAAATCCCAAACCTTATCCTGATCTAGCTTCTCGGAGCTGAACTGGGAAGGTAGAACCTCGCCGTCTACAAGCTGTAGAGCAGCAACATAGGCACTGCACATTTGTGCACCGATTGCGTTTAATGGGCGTTCAGGCTTCCATCCAACGTGTTTGAAGGCTTGGATTGCCATTTCTGCAGTGATGTGCCGGATCTTGCTCAGATCTTTGAGTTGTTCTGGGTATTGTTCTTGAAGTGCCCTTACACAGTCGATAGTATTGTGAGTGCCGGCACAGGAAGCATATGGCTTCACCTGAATATTCCAAATTTCCCACCGCTGACCAAGTTGGTCGCAGATCGCGTCCGGGAGATAACGTGGAGTACGCTTCGATCCCTGGGAGAAGGTGCTCAGATATCCATCCTTGCGCTCGAGGACTTGCTTGATTCCAACAAAGCCCGCCCGCGCCATGTATGCGGCTGATAACCCCCCACGGGCCGCAAAACCGTGCTGCATTCGCTTGACCATACTTTCGTACTTGGCGCATGAAATTCCGCAGGCTTGCGTGCAAGCTAGTCCAACTGCATCCTCTATAATAGCGGCAGGGAGTCCGAACAACTTGCTTACCGCGGCGGCAGCGGCTGGTGGTCCAAATATAGCACCCGAGTGCCACCCCATTGCGAGCATCTCAGCTCCCCTAAGCCCCAGGCCTACGCGTGGGCCGATTTCATATCCAACGATGGCCGCGAGAAGGAAGGAAGCGCCATCAACCGGACGTGGAAATTCCGGTGACTTTTGTGCCTCCTGCTGGGCGGCAGCAAAGAGTGACGGGAGAACTACCGCGCTGGTGTGGATTGGCGCGACGCAATGGTAGTCGTCCAACTCGAACCCTTGAATAAAGGTGCTGTTGAGCATGGCGGCTGCCATGGGTCCTAGACTCTTTGAAATATTCTTAGCATCTATATGATCTTCCCTAAAAGGTAGGTCTAAATAAAAGAGGAGTCTACACATCTTCCTTGCGGGGACTACCCTGTGCCAAGAGATACGTTTCGGGAATCCTCAGGTCCTAGGATAGATAGGAAATCTAGACTCAATTTACCTCGTTCCAGCCAAATATACTGCACCTCCCAGGCATCTCCAGGTCTACCATCGCATTCCTCGCTTAGGGTTAGGGTTAGGGTTAGGGTTAGGGTTAGGGTTAGGGTTAGGGTTAGGGTTAGGGTTAGGGTTAGGGTTAGGGTTAGGGTTAGGGTTAGGGTTAGGGTTAGGGTTAGG